TCTTCGACATTGCAGTCTGACCTCGGCGCCGCGCAACAGCTGGCGCAAAGCAGGTACAAGGACCTCACCGACCTACGCGAGGTACTGCAAAAGGCGCAGCCTGAGATGAAGAGCCTGCGTCAGGACTCTGCTGCGCTCAAGACGACCAAGGAGGAGCTTACCGCGAAGAACGCAGAGCTGCGTAACCTCGAGAAGAAGGAGAAGGATCTCAAGGCAGAAGTGACGAGGGCGCAACGCCTGGCGTCGGACCGCGAGACCGAGATCAAGGCGCTCCGCGGCAAGGTTGAAGCCGAGACGAACAACAAGCTCCGTCTCGAGGATGCCCAGCGGGTGTCTGCACGCGACTTGCGTCGCTCCGAGGCCGAAAAGGTTGAGCTCGCTGCCAAGGAGGAGAAGACGGCCCGGGAGCTCCAGCGGGTGCAGGAAGACGCCAACAAACTCCGGCCCAAGGTCAAGGAGCTCGAAGAGCAAATCGAGAAGCTCGAAAAGGAGAAGAAGTCTCTTCAGGAGGAGGCGGATCTCAAGACGCAGCAGTATTCGAACGCGCAGGGTCTACTGGGCAGCATGCGCGACCAGACAGGCGAGCTGACGATACAGCTCAAGGAGGCGCGGTCGCAGTCCGAGTCGCTCGAGGAGGAGCTGGCTGAGATCCAGAAGCATCTTTCGGAGCGATCGCGTGAGGCGGAGCGGATGCGGGGGCTCCTTGCTGATGTGGACGAGCGCGCCGATAGTAAAGTGCGGGAGATGCGGGCGCGGATGGAGGCTGCGATTGAGGAGCGGGACCGGATGGAGGACGAATCGAGCACGCTCGCGCGCCGCAAGACGAGGGAGACGGAGGAGCTGAAGCAAAAGATTCGCGACCTGGAGCGGGATATCAAGACGCTTTCGACGGAGAAGGAGGAGCTGGAGAGCCGGGAGAGGGAGTGGAGGCGGAGGCGGGAGGAGCTTGAATCCGTGGAAGAGAAGGCCGAGGCGGAGGTCAAGGAGATGCGGTCTGCTGTTTCGGATCTGCGGACGACGCTGGACGCGTCGGAGCAGCAGGTTCGGGACGCCGAGAGGCAAAAGTCTGATTTGAGGAGGTTGCTTGAGGAGTCGAAGCAGAGGTTTGACAAGGTGCATAAGGAGCTCAAGACGGTGCAGACCAAGCTTGGGGCGAGTGTCACAAGCGGTCGGAGTTCGATGGACTCGAATCGGTCTGGGCTGAATGGTGGGCCTGCGGCTGGAGGTGCGGGAGGGTCTGCGGATACGTTGTATCTCAAGACGATTATGTTGCAGTTTTTGGAGCAGAAGGACAATAAGTTGCGGGAGCAGCTTGTGCCTGTTCTGGGGAGGATTCTCAAGTTTGACAAGTAAGTTTTGATCTCCCTTTTGATGTGTAGATGATGGATGTATTTGCTAACATGGGATTCACAGGAGCGATGAGCAAAAGTGGAAGAGTGCTATTCAGCACATCACTGTGAGGTGAGGATAATCAGGGCGTGAGTGTATTAGTTTTGTATGAATAAATACCCAGGATGGCTTCTTCCTATGCACATGATGGTTAGGCTATTTCTACGTGCCGTCAGTGGGGCGTGTCTTTGTTGGTGTTGCTTTGGTGTGATTAGTGGAGGCTCAATGCAAGATAAGGCAAGGTGAGGAAGGCAAGGTGAGCAAGGTGAGGTGAGGTATTGTCGGTGAGGTTGTGTAAGTTTGGGCCGGTCTAGATTGTCAAACTGGCGGGGCAGTCGGCTTACCTCATGCCATGTGCCCCGCCATAGCTCCAGTTCCCCCGCGCCCGGAGCTCTCGCCGGATCTTTCCCTCCGCGGGCCCAGGGGTTGACTGCATGTGGGTGTCGTCATGGAGGAGGCTTCACTGACCTCATCCGCTCGTGTACCCTCCCTATGGCGGACACTAATTCGCTGCCAGCCTTACCTGACGAGAATTTTACGTGTGTAAGTCCGACCGTAGAATCTCGATGACAGGGCTATTTCCCTTAAAAGCACCGCTTGGGGCTTGCTGCAGTTGCTCCCGCGCGTGCATTGCATTGTGTTTAAGATGACACGACAGCCTCTTCCGTGTCTCCCACGCTTCAATTGGCGCCTTCTGCATCTAGTCTCGATTTGTTAGATAACGATGAGATCATCCCGTGTACTTTCCCATCCAGTCGTCACCTCAGTACGAGGATTATATAGCCGCCGCCTTCTGCCCTCAACTTCACCTCTTCTTGTGCTCCCTCACGCCGTCAACACAGCTAAATTGAGTATTTCCACCTCACTCATCACGCGAGCACACGCAACAATCTTTTCTCCCAACACCACACCCACGATCCACATCACATCCCGCAAACACCCCATCCAACAAGCCAAAATGTCTACTGGCCAAAAGACATCCGGCCCCGAGGGCAACAAGCTCTTCACCCGCAACCACCTCTTTGACCTCACTGGCAAAGTCGCTCTCGTCACGGGTACGATACTTCCTCTCCCTCATCCCCCGAGACCGTGGTCTAACCCCCTCCAGGCGGCGGCACAGGCATAGGCCTAATGGCAACCCAAGCCCTCGCCTCCAACGGCGCGAAAGTCTACATCACCTCCCGCAACCAATCCAAGCTCGACAACACCGTCCAAACCTACGGCCAAAACGTCCCCGGCTCCATCGTCCCCATCGTCGCAGACGTCACCAAGAAATCCGACATTGACAAACTCTACAAGGAAATCGAATCAAAGGAACCCGCCCTCGACATCCTCGTCAACAACGCCGGCGTCTCCAGCGCCGCCTTCGAAGTCGAGAGCGACTCCGCGCAGGACATGAAAGCAAGCCTCTTCGACGACGCCTCCGCCGACTTCGAGGACTGGACCGAGACCTACCGCACAAACGTCGCGGCCGTCTTCTACGTCGCCGCGAGCTTCCTCCCCCTCCTGCAGAAATCCACAGACAAGCAGCACGGCTGGTCCGGCACCGTCATCAACATCAGCAGCATCAGCGGCATGATTAAGAAGTCGCAGCACCACTTCTCGTATAACGCGTCCAAGGCGGCGACGATTCACGTGAACCGCATGCTCGCCGAGGAGATTGCGTCCAATGGGTTGAAGATCCGCGTGAACAGTATCGCGCCTGGTGTTTTCCCCAGTGAGATGACGACCAAGGAGCCGGCTGATGAGGAGCAGAAGAGCGAGATTCCAAAGGAGAAGTATGCTGATAAGGTTATTGCGGGACGGCCTGGTCGGGATGAGGATATGGCGTCTACGGTGCTGTTTTTTGCGTGTAATCAGTATTTGAATGGTCAGACGCTTGCTGTTGATGGGGGGTATACTCTTGCTGCTGGGATGTGAGGGGGGTTTAGGTGCATCGTGAGAGGTGGTTGTGGTACAAGGGTTCAACAGGCGTTGGGGTTGTCAAAATATGTTAAGGTATGGTGGGATGCAGATAGAACATCAATCGAGTTTTGAAATCAGAGATGTGTCGAACCCTGATAGGGAGGGAAAGTGAAAAGTGGTTGTCAACAAGCACCGTCCGTTGTAGTCGATGGTTGAGCGGTACAATTCTAGCTTCCAGGAAGCGAGGTTGTATGTTGGCTCACGGTCATACATAATGCCATGGATAGCTTGTTTTTTTGTGCATTTTTCGGTGCGGTACGCTCGGTGCGATGTTGATGTTTGGTGAATACGTGTTGTGTATTCCGTATGTACCGGTGCTTGGTCGCTAGAATGATGAGAGGTCGTGAGTTCAAGTTGAATTATTTTGCCTCTTTTCTTTTCCATTTTAACTTGCTTACGAACGTGGGTTAGGTATCTAGATGTTATTAATCACTTATCTCGAGCTTCTAATGTTGATACTTCGATACTTGACCTTGAGATCGGAAGATATCCAGGAATCTCAACTTAGTTAGGTTGACGAGACCGCCAAGCAGAGTTTTAGCATCTAGCAACAAATAGATAAGTACCTTACCCAGAATCCCAGAGGACCTCCGGCTCCAAGCATGTCGACGGCTTCATCTTCTTGGTGGTACTGTGCCAGGATGGCTTCTCGCTCCTGGAGGCGGGACTCCAACAGCTTGGCGGTGCGCCTTGAGGCCCGGACCTGCTCCGAAATCTTTTCCCACTCGGCGTTGATCATCTTGCCGACAGTGACGATGTTGTCCTTTATAATAATGCCCCAGGCGCCGACCTCTTCCTGATCTAACGTCTTTTCTATTTATGACAAAGAGTACAATTCTTGTAGTGCTATATTGTAGGACGACCCGAAGTAACGGTTAGGAGGGTGGGCTTGATGTTACTTGAGCGGGATTAGGTAGACATAGCGCGCAGAATCTGCCCTTCGCAGTATACGAAAACTCGAAAGTTCCCGTAAACAATGCTAGAACTATGGATATATTCATGAATTACATTACTTTATTATTTGAGTATAATAGCTCGAATATTAAAATACTTATTTTAACAGAGCTAGAAGTTTTAATCGTTATTACTTATTTTTCTAATATAGTTAAATAATTTATTTAAAAAGAACGTTAAATAATTTTAGTATTACTGAGAGACCGGATCTGATAGCGCTATCATATTTTAAAAAAAACAGTTTAAGTAGATATAAAAAGGTTTTTTAACATCTTTGTATATAGCTTATATAAGCGCTAGCGACTGGTACCTGGAAATATGCACGGAAAGATCAGGGCCTAAGTGTTGTTGGCGGAAGCATTACCGTCCTCTGGCCTATAATTACCTTAATGAATAAATGTCCTCGGATTCCTCTGAAATTAGTCATTCGTTCGGATCCTCATGATTGCCATTGTCTGGGGAGTCAACATACACATCCACATCCTCCTCTCTGAGACCCACAGAGATGGCTTGCATAACTTGCTCGTTAAAGTGAACATGTTTTATTTCCCTCCCACGCAGAGGGATTGTAAACTCGTTCTCGTTGAAAGACCGACTTTCTGTTGATTTGGAACCGTTTGGGCTTGTATTCGAGCCCGTAATCATTGGCCCATAAAGCCAGGTCACATCGCAATCTTTCAACCTGGGAATGGTCAGCCGAAAGAAGAAACAGAGACGGAGGAGGGGATTAACCAATTAAGCTTCTCTGGCGACACGGTCTTTAGACCATCCTTAGCCTTCGTCCAAGCACGCCATGCGGCGTTTTCCAAGCGAGCTTTGTTGCCGTATTCGGATCCGTGAGACGCTAGGTATCTCCGAGAGGCCCAAAATTCTCCATCCTTCCATTCATGAGCAAGAAAGTCGACATGAACAGATGGTCTCTCCTCTATAGCAGCCTCATCTTTGGCCAATCTCCTCGGGCAAGAGGAGCCCATGCCATCATTGGCCTTGACTGATGCGAGAAGTTTCATCAGACCGAGCTCCTCGAGTTGCTCAATCACAGACGTATGCCCATTCTCAAGGGCAAAGTCCGCGACGCCCTTGCGGTAGTTGGCCGTCACTGCCCAAACGTCGGCCCCGCATTCCACTAACTTGCGAAGGGTGCTAGGGCTACCGAGTCTAGCAGCTTCGAGTAGGGGCGTAAGAGAAACACCTGTTCTCATTTCCGTGTCAAACCCTCCTTGGCAGTTGCAGAAGTCTATGGCCTTCTCCAAGTCAAAAGCACACGCCAGCCACACTGGATGGGCCGGGCTTCTGGTAGCTGAGTAACACCTTTCCAGCTCCAGTCCCGTGACTCCATCAAAAGCAGCGGTACGACACCAGATCTCGAATATCGAGGAATCTGGATGAGGTCTAATAAAAGTGTCGAATAGCGGCTGAAAAGGGACCTTATAACGATTTTCTCCGCTTAGCCTGGCGTGCTCATGCCAGTACTGGTCCACGTACTTTTTCACTGATTTTTCGGAAATGGGATACGAGGAGATGCCTTTCCCCAACAGCTCCTGGTTGGCGGCTATGCGAGTTGGAGCCAGGCTGGAGCATATGTGCAGCAAACTGTGGTGGGCCAAGGCTGCATGTCCCTTTGACGGGGTGAATGTCTCATCTCCACGGCCCTGGAAATGTTCGAAGAACTCGCGGACTGACAGATGGACAAAGCGGAAGACGTTGAGTGCTGGGTCAATCTCTACCAGATTTCCACAAATGTCCAACAGGTGCTGTGGTTTCAGCGGGATAACCGAGGCCCCGGTAACAAGGGAGATGAAGGCCGCGAATGTCTCCGTTTCTATCGCTTGTTGTCCATAGAGCAGCCATTGAAACACGCCGTTGGCAAGGAGTTTTGCAAATGTCCCAGAGTCTTGGATGGCGCAGTAGATTGCGTAGTATGAGTTGTCAAGGGTTCGTGGGAGGCGGCCAAGCCGAGACTTGAGGTCCTGGTCGAGTTTCGCACGCTTCAACGTCTCGAGCTGCAGGTCTACCCATCTGAACCTTCGATATGTCAGTAGTTTCAATGACTGTTTACTCTTGATAAAACACCTACATTCCCTCAGCCTTCTCTGACAAAACTGACGCAACATCTTGGCGAAGTCCCGGAAGTCCAGGGCCGTAGAGGTTCTCTCGAGAGTCCATGAGCGCACTAACTCTCTCATCAACGAATCGGTTGATATCCACAGAGTTGTGAGCGGCGCTGACTCTGATGTCTGACGTATCGGCTAGCGATGAGATTATATCAACATCGTCACGACTCGAGATAAGAATTTTGACCAGATTCGCAGACTTGTCTCTCACTTCCTTAAGCGAGACGAGAAGGTCCATCCGTTCATCCTCGTCGCATTCATCCAGAGCGTCGATAACGATTGTTAGTGAGGGGTAGATGTCCATGACATGGATGAGAGTGTCTTTGCATTCCTTCAACGACCACTCACGTTCCTCGAAGCCCTCATCTTGTATCTTCTCATACATACTCTTCACTGCTTTGGGGACTGTTCGGTTCGGGGACATAGCTACAGCTTGCCGTAGAAGACTCTGTACAGCGGCTTTGCACTGTCCTCGCAAAGGTTCTCGCGGATCTCTGGCGCAGTAGAAAAAAGCCAGAAGCTCAGCCGATTCAGCTTTTATGGCTTTTATCGAATCGATGACAACCGAGCAGAGCTTTGTTTTCCCGCAGCCTGGGATGCCGTGCAGCCAAAGAATCGTGGACGAACTGCTTCCCCGCCAGCTGCGAAAGGCTTGGTGATGTAACAGCCATTCTCCTGACCCATCCAAACGCCCACGGACCGCAGCCTGGTGATGAGACGGATACGGCAACGTGGAGAGAGACCTCAATATGGTCTGGCGATCAGTTTCTTGGGATAGCTTTAGGAGTTGCGATGTGTCTGCGGCAATCCTGCAAATTGGAGATTTTAGGGCCGATAAGATTTTCTTCATGTCCGTCGTGTATTGAGATTGAGCTTGCTCTGACTCTGCGGCATCTAGCTCACGAATTTCGGCTTCTGCAATCCCCATGCAACGCTCGATTTCGTCCTGCTCGACGGCGACCAGATCGGAAATACTTTTTGTAGCCTCCAAGTCACCGAGCGCGCTTTTCGCCAAGTTTTTAACCGTGCCGTTCGAGTAGTAGTTGGCGCTTCTGTCCAGAAAACGCAGGATACGAGCATACAGTCGAGTGAGTGACTGTTCCAGGAGGCGGGCAATCTTGAGGTTGCGACCCAGATACAGGTCCTCCACGATCGCAGATTGAGCAATGAGATTTACAACCTGGCTCATGTTCTCAGCCATGATGCCGAAAGCCCGCACGTTATCGACGGCCGCCTGGAGGAAGAAGCGAACACAGGCCCAAGGCAGCGCCGCATGAGTAGGGTCATACTGCACAGCTGTATCACCCACAGCCTTGAACCTTTCTACCCAGGCAATAATCTTCTCCAAATAGTCTCTAACGATGTAGGTATGACCATGCCAGGTAAACCTCCACCGCTTTTCCTGTGCCTCGACCTTCTTCTGCTGAGCGGCCTGGAGGATGTCGCTCAACACCTCTGGCCCGTCGGCGTCGACATCGACAAAGGTCTTCAGTCGGCCCTTTTCGTCGGGTGGGAGAGTTTCCAAGGCCCTCGACCACATGTCTTTGCTGCATTTTGTAGTAACTTCAGCGTGAGTTTCCCTACGCTTTTGGGCTCCTTACCTTATCGAATCGACCATGGTCACGTGTTGAATGTTTGGATATACGTCCTTATTCGTGTCCTATTACTCAAGGATCAAGGTCTTAGCGCCGCGGCACCGGTACTGATTCTAATGCCTTTAAGTTGCAAAAAGATACCGAAGTCAGAATTGCTGCCTAACTTTTATTAATAGCGAAGACCTAGCTGAGGCTATCAATGCACCGATAGGCTTAAGTATTATCAGCTTAGTCAGATCACGTCGACGGGTCTAGCGCCTTAGCTTGATATGGGCATGGCTCTAGGGCTCTTATTGTAGCCTGATGCACCCGTGGCGGGAGCACTAGCGTGGCCGGAAGATGGCCGGCCGGCCCGGCCCTGATTAGGTAGCACGTGGTGGTTAAAGCGGTCCCGGAGCTAGAGATAAAATTCACTTCTTACCTAATTGCTTTCGATTAGTTGGTTAGGCCAGCCCGTGACGTATTGATATCTAAGTTCACAAGTAACGAGGGAGACGACTCCAAGAGTCAGCGGGTGGGAGGCGCCCCGTCTCACAACGTTTAGATAGCTGACTATCAAGGATTCTGTGTCTACCATTACTTGCAGGAATCCTTATGGGCAGCCCGCAGAAGGTGAACGGAACTCGTGTTCAGTACTTCTCCGCGACTGCGCCGACCACAGTGACAACGTTATTGTCAAAGTTTGGGGTAACTCTGAAGGTCCGGCTATCCAAATCCCAATCATAAGTGTGCGTCTCATCTTCGCCGCTGCCTCCCAGACCAATGTGAACGCCAAAGATGCTGATGCTGCCCCCGGCATTCTTCGTCTCCTCCAACTTGGTATCGAGGATTTCGGCGGTCGACTCGCCGACCGTGATCTCGTAGCCAAGACCTGCCACGGCAATAGCCTGGCTCGCCCTGGTGAGAGTTTTGATATTGTTTGGGGCGTCCGATCGAAGCTTATACTTGCTCATATCAACGTTCCTGAAAACAAGAATCAGCCATTGTACCAGAAATGATGAGCATAACTGGGGATAGGAGGGAATACCATGGACCGGTGGTAATGCTGATAGCTTGGATAGAATTGTAGGTGACGGTGACTTCGACCTCGGAAGACTCGGAGCCGGTTTCCAAGACGTAGGACTCCTCAGAGTGACTGGCGTCATCACTAAATGAGAACCACCCGGTACCAGCTCCAATATTGCCGTCACCTCCAGTCTGCCCAAATTCGTAGTCCGATGCGTCTCCTTCAACATCGATATTGACTTCGATCCTCTGAGGCGAGCTGTAGTCGCCGTCATTGGCTTCCTGTAGAGCATCCTGCACGAACTGCTTGTAGGATCCAGCTTCGTACAAGGGCAGACGCTGGAAGGACGGTTCCGAAATGTCATCTCCCTGGTGATTCTTGCTGATGATCTCGGCTGTGCTGAGACCATTATCTATTGCAGCGTGCATGTTGTAACTTCAGAGTGTCAGTCCTCGGTCGGTATTAAATCGCAATGTTCACACCATCCCAGCTTGTAACGTACCCGACAAAGTCCATCTCCTCGTTCTTGCCCATGCGGAGGCTGTCTCTATCTTTCTTGACGGCGACAGCCAAGGGGCCTCCCTGATGCAACTGAAGATTGATAATCGTTTGGGAGATGCTGTCGACGTTGTCCTTCGCAGCCATCCGAGCCGGAGCATTGCCGCTCTGAACCCAAACATTGAATGCCTTGTCGGTCAACCCGCGGTCAGTATCTCGCCTCCATTGCGCATGGGCGTTGTCTTGTTCTTTGTCAAAAGCTTTCTGGTAGGTGGCTTGTTTCTTCAAGGCATCCAGAAAGTTGGCATCCAAAGCAGGGTTAGATTTTCCTCCCTTCTGTTCGTTAGCAGAGTTACTGTAGTGCAGCAGAGGACTTTCCTTACCAGGTCTACCCAGTTCAAGTAGCTAGAACATGGCTTTAGCACGGGCGGTATCCTCACACAATGTAAAGTTACACTCACAGGCCGATTGCCTTGTCGTACCCATGCAGAGCAGACGGACTGTAGAAGACGCTGTTGGTAGACAATAAGTTGTTGCCGAGGCTGTACAATCCCCGCGCAGTGTAAGCGCCAGGAACGTTGTTGCCGGCCAGAGGACCCTTCTGGGCTTCGGTCGCCAAGAAGAAGATCTTGTTGTCACTTCTAACTCCAGACTCCTGTCGGATGGCATCGCCGTACTGGAGCCAGAAGAGCTGGGAAACTTCGTCGGAAGCCATGGTGGTTTGTAGGACTTGAAAGGAGGTGAGTCCTAAAGTTTGTGTGCTGCAAAATGTAGAGATAAGATGAGGATGGGATATTGAGGTGGGGATTGAGAGAATGCAGAAGACCTTTATACTTCAGTCAAACTATCTTTGATTGTTGCACTTATGAAGAGGAGTTCTTATTTGTGTACCTTTTCTTTCTTGGGGATCGCACGCAATTCGGAGGAATGCTTCAGGATCCGCAGTACTGTTGTCCCTGACTGGCTGCTGGGCACCATTCGGTTTTGCCAGGCCGAAGTCGCATTCCATCCATGATCTTGGCAGTTTATATGGCCCATCAACCAGGTCCAACCAGTCTCAGACCTCGGTAATCGACTTTTATGACTGGAAGAGGTTAGAGAACTGTCTGCCAAGTCTCAAGTACCGTTGTCGCATAAGAACCAATCCCAAGGCTGGGAGTCGTTGGTGGTTTCAAGATATGGACTAGATCTTAGACAGAATGGGGCATATTTCCCATCATGAGAAATTCTATCTGATAAGATATGTCTCATCTTGTTACAAGATCAAATCGAGATGCATGGGGTGAGGGCAAGATGGCTTTAACTAACGCTTTGTGGCTGGCTTCTACACCCACTGCATCGTGCCTTGAGAGCCCTTGATAGCCTCCGAAATGATGTGTCTGGGTGGCTGAGACAACAACAGTATTATTCTGCCGTGCAATGCTAAAGTTCTCCAGAAATTTCACGATACGGGGAGTCGGGATGAGACAAGACCTATTGAGAACCTTGGGTACGTGTACCACATCGCCCTCTAAGCATGATTAGCAGTACTCTAAGCTCCTGACATGTCACATGAATGATTGAGTTTATTGTGAGGTTTGTCGGAACTTTTAGTAAACCGCATGGGAAGCTACATCGATTGAAGGGCAGAGAACTTACATTGCTTATCAACATCTCAAAAAGGAGTCAAATCTCGAACTCGTCATCAAGGGCACATGCCCGGCTCTGCTTAGTCAAATTTGAACATAATTTGTCTCATAAATTCCTCTAATCAATCTGTGCCCAATCTGCCTTGGCATCATCGTTGTTCTTCTCTGGCGCTTCAATTGGCATTACCCTCTTCGCCTGCCTTCAAAGGCTTCCGTCCATAGATGACATATCCATTCCAGTACGCATGTATACGTGTGTCTGCCAACTCTTTTCTCACTTGCGCGCAGAGTATCAATGCCTCTTCTTTGGACCAATCCATGTAACGGGTCAGCAGCGCTAGAGTTAGGCCCTCCAAACCGCCCGAGAGCATGGAGCGGTTCCAGTCACCAAGCTCCTTGAGCTTCTTGTCCTTGGGCCACCCCGTGGACGGGAACTTGAACGGAACCCTCCTCACGTCCTCAAATCCCATCTCCTCCATCTTGCCAACCAACTGAACCGTCTCCTTGTCAACGGGGCGCCCAATCTTGGTGCAGGCTTCGACCAAAAGATCGCCCCATTTATCCATGGCTGTGCCTTTCATCGTATCATCATCAGCGACCGGAGGCCAGTGGCTATCTTGAATTTCAAAGTAGCCACCGGGCTCGAGGTGGTCGTACGCCTGCTTGATGATGTTGTTCCAGTCTGAAAAGCTCGCATTCATGTTTCGGCAGAGGATAAAGTCAAAGGGATTGGTCCAGGTCCACTCCTTTTCCAAGTCGTCCACCTCGAAGCTGCAGTTGGGGGGAACGAAACCGGGCTGGATAGGGCTGAGGTCGACGCCGAGGACGGTGGCCTCCGGGAATGTCTCCGCGTAGTCGAGGGCCCAGGTCCCAGTGCCGGTTCCGATGTCGAGGACTCTCTTAGCTTTTGTGCCGTCGTTCTTGGGACACAGACAGAAGGCATTGTCGAGCGCCAACATCCAGATATGATTGACAATGTCAAGACGATCTTGCTCGCGCTCGTCGTTCGGGAAAACGTACTTTCCATCGCTCATGCGATGGTACGTCCGTCCGTTCTCACGGCGGTAATCCAGAATGCTCGATCTCAGCGATGCGCTGGATTCGTCTGTTGAGACACCGCCGATGGAGGAGGCGTCGTCGATTCCAGAGTCATCTGCCTCAATGGGCGGCTGATCTTCATTTTGTTGCATGTTTGATAGCCCGTTGGTCTTGTGAACGTGCTGAGTTGAAGTTGGGGGCTGCTGGCACGATTTATGGAATGAATGAATATGGGCGTGATGTGGTTCTGGAGACGATCGTCTTATTTTACCCCTCTTTTTCGAAAGAGCCCCTGACTTTATACAGCTTCTCCGCTTTTTCAATCACATTTCTGTTGATTGAGAAGATAACAACTGTTCAAGTGTGCTCTGTTGGTTGAAAGTTCCAAGACGCAACTTCCAAGTTGGGATCCCAGCCCCGGCCAATTAGCGAGGGTACCGTAACCTCGGCTCGGATATAGGCCAGGATCTTCAACCTTGCCAAGATTAAAGGCATTGAGCGAAGATTACAAGCTCACATGGTAAGAGCAGATCAACAGATATACTACGAGATGATGAAAGACGTTCCTGTTGTTGGATCATACATTCTGGGTAACCCACTGAATGTGAACTACCTTACACAGTTAAGCAGCCCAGGGTGGGGAGGGGAGCTATTTATCCATGACTAAAAGCCAGAGGCCCACCTTTAATGGCTGCAGATAGTTCAATTAGTCTTTTCCTAATCACTATCTGGTCGATAATGGATTTTGAGCCAATAGTAACACTCTTACTCCTAATTCATAGGAATCGTGTTAGTTGGGTCTAGATATTTCGGGGGAACATTGGTGTTGGCTCAACATTCTAAGCAAGAGGGGCTTCAGCAAGGCCATGAAACGACATTCAGGAAATCCATAGCTTAGCGATGTTGACTTCACTAGTAGCACAATTGATTTGTGCTCCAGCAAATTCATATTGATGACGTGCAAAAGTTGCGGCAATATCTTCAACGTAGTTGAGACTAGCCATTTCAACAATCAACTCACGTCACTGTTAAGAACGAGATGCAATGAAGCATTTAACCTCACTACACAAGAATGTTCCGACATGTTGTTGGCAATCTACTACTTAGGGAAAACACATGCTAAAATGACTGGCTGAGAGAAGACGCAAAATTAGGGGATGGCGCCTTGGCAAGGCACTCTTTCAGGGCAACACAGCTCAGCTGGTTCGAATCAGCCGCACACTAGCGCGCTGTCGCAGAACATGAGAGCGATGACGGCGATATAACATGGACGGACAATTGCGAAACCGCGATAAATATAATGAAGACATAGAACCATAATAAGACCAATCAATTTCGGTGCGTGTGCCTGACCAGGAATAGACCTTGGACCAACCATGGACCATACTCTGATCCCAAGTCGCCTGTAAGTCCAGCCAACATCCTCCTCATCACTCATTCCCTCCATAGAGCCGCTACTGAAGAACAAATAGAGGCATATTTCGTCTCAAAGAAGCCGACACAAAATCAGGACTCTTTTCGCGACTCGGCAAAAAGTACATCTTCGCAGTGGCGGAGAAATATCCCCTGAATTTAGACGACGCCTTGATCCTCATCTACTTCCCACTAATACCCTACGGTTCGAGCGATGCGATAATCTTTATACGAAGTGAATCCGACAGGGGCTTTCGCAAATATGCTGCCGTTGTCGCAAGGGGCGATCCGCAGTTTGAGATTGAGATACAGCATTACCCGGCTGAAAGCGCGACTGGTAAGTAATCTGAGATACCGGGCTCAGTCTCTGAGAGACTGATTCAGACGTAAATAGATCCCCAGTCCCTAATGATCAAGAAAACAGCACACTTTCACTCACTCGCGGACGTGATCTCTCAACGCCAAGACAAAAAGACAATAGACACGGTCAAGATTGGTCTCAAATTCCGGCGAAGTTGGGTCGGGTCGCCGGAGTACACAGAGTGGAAAGAAGAGGCCGGGACTCTCGTAAAGTATAGGACTGAGGATGTAAGTATTCTTATAGTTTATGAGTCACAACTATTTCCAGAGTCTAAAGTAAAATTGTTAACGTCTGGACCAATGTAGTTCAAAGTATGGGACGACACCAACGCCCAGATCGTGATGTTGTTCCATCACTTCAACCTAGCCAAGAAGGTAGGCTGAGAACTCTATTTCTGGAAGTTCAACGGCCAGTGAAAGCTCAACTAATCATTCAAGTCCAGCCCTCAGGGGCCAGATTCTCCATAGACTTGGTGCAGAAAAGCGACGATTCGAATGAGTATCTCATCTACCCGGGGCACACGCTTTCGGTTCTTGCCAAGGCCACGACGCATGCTCTCTTGGCTTGGAAGTACTGGACGCATGATCTGCAGGAAGCATCACCGATTCGGAGAGACGAAGAAGAACCTTCTTAATGTCGCTGAGGGAGGTTGTTGGACGCAGGCACTTGCTATCGACAATGTACAGTGTAGCAATCACAATCCTTCTACTCTGTCACCTCCTTCTCTTATCTTACTCACAAGGTAATGTATTTCTTATTGGAAATGCTAGTGTGTGGAATGCGTTACATACTTCTTTGTCTCTTTGTTCTAAAATAAAGAAGAAGAAAAAAAGGTGTAATAAAATATGCTTATCTCCTTGGTCGTAAAACAGTTTGTCAGGCATTGGCGAGGTTTCGGTCCTTGTGCACCAGGTGTAGGTAGGTGAGAGTAGAGTCACCGCCACCCTCGCTTCGCGCTTTCCTACCTTTTCCATCAAATCGAGACCTAATACTTACCATTTAACTTACTATACTGCAACTTTAGAAAATGCTAGACTCTCCTTCTTCTGAGCTCGTCTCTCACTTTCCAAGCTGAAACGGATTGCATCTCCTTCTTCACTTTAGGCCTGCATTGAGCATCGGAATGCGACTTCTCAAAACGCCAGAGAGAGATCTTTGATCTGGATATCTCAATTAATGTCGGAGCCGAGATTTTTTCTTTCCGACTAGTTCATCCTGTGAAGGTAAGTGGCAGACTCTCAGTTGAGGGCTCTAAATGGCCCTTATCTCGAGGTTCCAAAGTCTATCTCATTTGACTTTTGCCAAGAGACACATCAGATGCATTTTCCCCAACAAACGAGGGCCACATGACAACCTCTGGAGAAATGCGTCTTGAAACACCCCAAGTAAACCCTCAAAGGCATGAATACTGATCTTGCTTGCTTTATAAAAGTTCGAGTGAGGGACTTCCATGACTGGACTTATAATCAATCCCTGCATTGCCCGAGATCGACGAGAAAAGCTCTCCGTTGGATCTTCGTCGCAGCATCCAGATGACTATCTCAGCCTTCACTCTGCACACTTTCCAAGACCGGGCGACCCACAAAGTCGGAGCATCGGGAGTCAAAGCGACCGACCTCCGATACCTCACGTGACTCGACTCACCCATAGATCCCAGCTGCAACTCCCGCCCGCCGACTACAAGCTAATTTCAACCACCGCCAGCCAACGCATTCATCGTCCCAAGTGGCCCAGGAAGGACAGCCAAGTCCAGGCAGAATACACTTTACCGTTCAAAGTAACGCCATCGCCAGCTAGAAGAATGTTACGACCCCATTGCCCCGCGTGCGACCGGCCTCAATCTGGCCCCGGTTCCCGTATCTGTCCTTGACATGCGTTGTGTGGACAACCCTGCACCTCAATCAAATTGCGTGTTTCCCCGTCTTACCTCTCGCCCGCGGACTTCTCCCTCGACAATCTGGCAATGAACGTGACGTACGCGGTGATGATGAAGCACGGAGCTTGTGAAGGCGAGGTGCCGACGTGTTCGTTCAGCTGATGTTGGGCATGGAAACTCTGGTCCTCTTTGAAGCATATCGAGTCCCCTAGATGTTCCGCAGTATGACCCAAACGAACTTACGCGGGAAAAAGATGTTATTTAAAGTAGCATCCCGCCTTGCCTCGTCGCGGTTGGCGTCTGCTGCCATCGCCCACTCAGAAGCACTAACACACCAATGCATTCACCATCAGAGAAAAGACCATTGACATCGTCAACCAAGAGATCATCACTACCGAAAATGAGCGAAACAGACGTTCTCATCATCGGCGCCGGCCCCACGGGCCTTACTCTCGCACTCGAGCTCTCGGTGCAGAGCATCCCCTTCCGCATCATCGACAAGGCCCCCGTCCCGTCAGACAAGTCCCGCGCCCTGGCCGTGCAGCCGCGCTCACAGGAGCTCCTCCACCGCCACCCCCACATCGCAGAGTCCATGCTCGCCGAGGGCACCGCGGGACCCGGCGTCAACATCTACTGCAACAAGCGCCATCTCGTCACCGGCACCTTTGACGACCTCGGCTTCGACGATACCCGCTTCGGCCTGCCGCTGTGGATCTCCCAGGTCGACACCGAGGCTGCCATGCTGCGGCAACTGGAGGTTTATGGCGGTACTGTAGAGCGGGGTGTGTCGGCGGACGATATCAAGCAAGACGGCGTCCGCGCGAGCACCACTTTGACAAAAGGCACGTCCAAAGAGATCGTACGGGCAAAGTACATTGTCGGCTGCGACGGCGCACATAGCGTCGTGCGGCACAGCGCCGACGTGACGTTTGAGGGTGCGCAATACCCTCAGCAGTTCATGCTCTGCGACGCAAAAGTGATAGGCGACTACGACACAGAGCGTGTCTCCCTCTTTCTTGGCAGTAGGGTAATGGTCGTCTTTCCTCTCAAGAACGGCGTGGTCCGCTTCGTAGGCGAAAGATCATCGAGGAGCAAGCGCGAGGGCGACCCGGACAAAGAGGAGATTGAAGAATTTGTGGAGGAGATGATGGGGAAGAAGTTGGAGATTGAAGAGACGCTGTGGCTGACGAGCTTCCGGTGGAACTGCCGTGGTGTCAATAACTACCGCGACGGACGGCTATTTATGGCCGGCGACGCGGCGCACATCCATTCCCCTGCGGGCGGCCAGGGTATGAACACTGGCATTCAGGACGCCATCAACTTAGGCTGGAAGCTCGCGGCCGTAATCCGCGGCGAGAAGGAGGAGGCATTCCTGGACACATACAACGAAGAGCGACACCCGGTCGGACAGCACCTCCTCACGGGCACAGATCGCATGTTCACCATGGTGTCGTCGCAAAACACAATCTTCACAACAGTGCGGAACTGCCTGATGCCGTGGATCGTGCCCCGAATCTGGAGCAACAAGGCGCGACGGCTGTCGCTGTACACGTTTATCTCGCAAATGGCCATCAAGTACCGCAACAGCTCCATTGTCGGCACGGCAGTCGGCTTTGATGGGCCTGTCAGGGGCGGCTGGCGGGCGCCGGACGGGCAAGTCACAGACGAGAGGGGCGAGAAGGGCAAGTGGTTGCTCGGGATGACGAGCGCGCGGGACCACACGATTTTCCTGTTTGCAGGCGGTGCGGGGGACGACGAGGAGAACTTGGACAAGGCGGAGGAGAAAATTGTCACGGACGGAAGGTTCAAGGAGTACGGTGTTATCAAGATCTACGCCGGGGAGACGGTTGGAAAAGGGGGCTACAAGGACGTGGACGGAGTGCTGCACAAGCGGTACGGCTTCGAAAAGGGGGCCGGGATGGTGGTCGTGAGGCCGGATGGGTATGTTGGGTTTATCGGCCCGGCGGAGTGCGTGGAGGAGTTCTTGTCAATGTGACGGCGGGGCCTGTCTGCCGATGGGGTTTGGAAGAGTGTCAAGATGGCTGGGAGTAATCGTAATGGGCCAGGTGCCATGAAGAGGTAAAGGCCGTTGTTGAGATAAAGCCGGGAGTTTGGGAAGACGTGGATAAACCTCTCCGCTCTACAGCAAAGTGCAGAATCGAATTCAGAGAAATCGTTACGAAGTATCTTGGCGAGAAAACCGTCTGAATGAAACGAGTCAACAACTCTACTGCATTGCTCGGCCTTACGCTCGGCGGCTCAACCGAATCAAGTTAATGAAAGCCGCAGCCGCGAACGCGCCGGTACTTGGCGTGGCATGTGGGGGGCAAGGGAGGGAACGGGTTGCGACTTCAACGTCCGAGGGGCCGGAGACTCTCCGAGCCAACGACCGCGGAAGCAGCCATGTTCCCTCCTCCGCAGAGCCTCCTTTTTCGCCATGTCGAGTTGACAGCTGCTTGATGTGGAGGAGGTTGCCACCGATGTCAGGAGGTAGGTAGGTAGACACATAGGAGTTTGCATGTGTATGGAATAAGACGCCGTAACAATGGCACTAGGACGGAGCCTTGGGAACGAGGAAGAGATTACATCAGACTGACAGGAGGAAATCTATCTGTAAATGGAAATGGAGACGAGGGAGAAAAACGCGGCCAACGTGGAGTCCCCGCATCGTGATAGTGTGACGAATGCATCGTCTGCTGTGGGCTTTGCTATTCGGTCCGATCGGGTCCCATGAGCCTCTCCAGGACGGGATTTTTCAATGGGGTTTGAGCAATGCAAGATTCGGGGTGGGAGATGCAGTGAGTCGTCAGTTTTCTTTTTGTGGATTATTCCCGCCTCGTTCCATGGTGGGAAGTGACGACCGGAGGGCGGGGATAAGGACGTGGATGAATCGGAGAATTCGACCCAAGTCTGTTCCGCGATCTCATCGTTCAGCGTAACCACATAACCCAATCGATGAGGTAGAAACGAACTGCATTCTCGGTTGCTCACTTTGCTGAATTTGTCCTGTCTAGGAACTGAGTACAAGGAACTGAGTAAGGTACCTACTACCTATGTAAAGTTGGTTGTGAAAGATGGTTTACTAAGACAGGTACGTACTCGCGGCGCTGACCGCCGAGGCGAGGAAGCCACGGATCGACGGAATTAAGCTTCGACTACAGCGATGGCCCCGGCACGCCTCGCCCGTTTCAGAGCCGCGGATGGAGTCTCCACCAAGCGACGTCATCGCTGCACCTTTGCCAACGTCAAACGTCAACGTCAATAGCGCGCCTTCTCGCCTTGCCTTACCTACCTTCCAGGTTATGTACCTACGTTACTGTGAAGGAATGAACGTGGGTACGTAGCGGTGATCAAGTATGCGGGGTGCAGATTCCCACTCCGTTCTTTTCCATCTTTTCCCGTCCCCTGCTACCATGCTTTGGTTGGACTCTTGACTCAGTCCGCGTCGTGGACTGCCACGGTTTGGCCGAACCATCATGTCATCCCTTCGGCCAGTGAGAGTAGAGACAAGAGAAACATGCATACAGAACGGTCGCTCGCACACAGCCGGCCGGGCTCAACCCCGAAACTCTGAATATCCCTGCTCCCAACTGTGGCCAATGGACCACTGACCTCGAGTCTGTCTCTGATGCATTGGGGCTGACTGATTCCCCGCCATCCATCCATCCTTTCCCATCGTTCGAGTCGGCCCGGCCTAATCAGCGTCGATACCAGCGAGCGGCCATCGCGCCCTGGGACCAACCATGGGTCTTGACCTTGGTTTTCCGCTTTGCTGCTGCCGAAGCTGCATGTTCTACCTTGGCAGCCACAGGTAGGTAGACCGTAGAACCGAGACCTGAGGTCCCTGGGACGCATGTTACTAACGCCGCCGCACCATGACGATGACATCGTTTTGTTATCCACACTAGTCAGGCGCCTTTCCCATCACCGCCCGATCCGTCAATCATTACCCCACAGACTGGCGACGAGCACACTAGGGGTACCTCCGGGCAGGTAGCCGCGATAGATTTAGCGGCGACGCCTTGTTACTGGTAGAGCTTGTCTGGGGTTGGCTGGCGTGCCCCGGCCCCATGTTGGTTCGGGACTAATCGACGGGTCCTCCACCATGGGAGAGATGATGCCGCTAGTCGGAGGAATTAGACGTATGTAGTCCCCTTTCTTGGCTTTCTATATAGACTGCGTCTGATGCCGCTTTCCCAAACAATGGCAGTCCAAGACAAATGTTTGTTGGTCTAGTCTAGTCCAGGGTAAATTTGGTATTCATCGGGATTGGGAAAACACAGCACGGGTTCCAGCACTAATTCTTCGACGCTCGGTCCGCTTCACCGTTTGCTCTTCACCTTTTCTTTCACCTTCCCTCTCACAGATTACAACCATTCTCACCAATCGACGACAACACATAACTGGATCGATTTCTCATACTGAGCCTTTCATCATGGGATGGTTTGGCTTGAAGGGCGGGTGGCTCACCTTTTGGGTCACCATCGCCTGCGCGACAGACATGACACTCTTCGGGTACGTCTGCTCCTTCCTTCCATCCTCCTCACCTCAGCTCACCTTCCACCATTCACCAATTCTTTTCACCCTCAAACTCCTCCCCCCCAGAGCCTCATCTTCCAACCTTCCGCTCTCAGGATCTCTAATCTAACACCCCACCAGCTACGACCAAGGCGTCTTCGGCGGCGTCATCGTAACCGATGATTTCCTCCAAACGATGGGCATCGTCGGCAACGACAAGCTCCAATCCACCGTCACCGCAATCTACGATATTGGCTGCTTCCTCGGCGCAATTTCCACCATATGGATTGGCGAGCGCCTCGGCCGCAAGAACACCATTCTCGTCGGCACCACAATCATGTCCATTGGCGCCATCCTGCAGACCGCCGCTTTTGGCCTCCCGCAAATGTTCGTCGGCCGTGTCGTCGCGGGTATCGGAAACGGTATCAATACCAGTACCGCCCCCGTGTGGCAGGGCGAGACGAGTAAGGCGAGTTGGCGAGGCAAGTTGATTGTCATTGAGATGATTATGAACATCTTTGGGTTCTCGCTGAGTATGTCTTCCTCGTCTTCCTTCCCCTCTCTGGATATCTCCCGGCCTCGTTCTTCGGTACCAGATACTAACGATGAGCAGGTAACTGGGTCACGTTTGGCTTCTCATACCTCACCGGCTCCATCTCATGGCGCGTTCCCCTGGCCTTCCAGTTCTTCTTCATCTTCATCCTCTACGGCACCGTCCCCTGGTTGCCTGAGTCACCTCGGTACGTCCCCTTCCTAGTCCCATAAATATCACCCGCTGGATTCCTATGACTGACAATAACCCCAGCTGGCTCATGGCTCAAGGCCGCGTCGCCGAAGCCGAACAGATCCTTGCCGACCTCGAAGACATGCCTGTCGACGATGCTTATATCCAGACTCAGTCCAAGGACATCCAGTGGGCCATCAACTACGAAAGAGAGAATACCGTCCCCTGGTCGGACCTCCTCCGAGGCCGGACCGGCGAGTCGTCGGGAACGTCCACCATCCGGCGTATATTCCTCGGGTGTGGAACCCAGGCCATGCAACAATTTTCCGGGATTAATGTTACAAGTTACTATTTGCCTCTCGTTCTCATCAACTCCGTCGGTTTGGACAATAAACTAGCGAGGTTACTGGCGGCGTGTAACTCTGTCAGCTACTTCTTGTTCAGTTTGATTGGAATTCCCAACGTGGAGAGATGGGGAAGGCGAAAGATGATGATGTGTAAGTTGTGGAAACGTCGAATCCAGGCCCGATGAATACGCACAGGACAGCTGATTGTTGCAAACAGACGGTGCCTTTGGCCAATTCATGTGCTACGCCGTCATTACCATCTGTATTCGTTACAATGAAATGGCTGGCCTGGCACCAGAGACGCAGTCCCAGTGGGCAAAGGCTTCGATCGCCTTCTTCTTCTTGTACTATGTCTTCTTTGGCATTTGCTGGCAGGGTACGTCAAGTCCTTTCCCGATTCTTTGGGTCAATGTTTGCTAATTCGATATAGGTGTGCCTTGGCTGTACCCCACCGAGATCAACAGCTTGTCCATGCGTACAAAGGGAGCCGCTCTCGGCACCGCAACGAATTGGATTGTCAACTTCATGGTACGTCTCCCGCGATTCTCCTCCAATGCAAATAAAATCACCCAGAGACCTAACCCACCAACAGGTCGTCGAGATCACACCACCAGGCATCTCTTCCCTCGGCTGGCAATTCTACATCATCTGGACAGTCTTCAACTTCTCCTTCATCCCCATCGTCTATCTCTTCTACCCCGAAACAGCAGACCGCTCCCTCGAGGATGTGGACCGTTTCTTCGCAGACAACCACGATATTTTCGTCTTCCGCGACAAGGACGCCACAAGCTCAAAGCGGCCGATGAAGTACATCGCGCAGGAAGAGGAGGCGATCACGAAGCGGAACAGTCGGGGCGGTGTGCCTGGTGCTGAGGAGGAGGATATGTTGAGGCGAAGAGGGGCTGTGGAGAAGATGAAGAAGGGGCGTGAGGATGAAGAGCTGGCGTTCGGAGAGCATAAGGAGAGAAGATAGGCGGGACCTCCTCTGTTTGTTGGTGGAGTGTACGATCTAGATGAGATATTTACGAGTTATGATGGTAGAAGTTTCATGATACATGATGGTTATTAAACATTGTTCTTCCACGATTGACCGATCGAGTTTGGGTTGCCATCTTCTGACATAACTGTCTAATGGCTGCCATCGCCAGGAGACCTCGATGGACTCTGGTCGTACACAAGAATAGACATGGAAAACGTCACCAACTTTGCGCAGTCTTCTTCAAATATCCCGGGTGATTCCATTCTATGGATCTGTCTATGCTGATCTGATTCGGTCTGGACAAGGTCTCGGGGGGCACGTTGTCAATCTGTCAGTTCGCGGACCTCATGATGCCCCACTACCCCTCCCCGGCTTCGTCTTGCCTCTTTGATCCTCTCTGCTTTGTCTCTCTACCCTTCCATTTCGCTCACTCTGATTCTCCTTCTGTATCGGTCCTTGGCTTTCTTGTCGATAGAGGCTTTCTTGTCGATAGAATCAAATCCGGTCATCTACCTCACGGAATAGACAGTCAGCAACGAAGAGAGATTCAATAGATAGCACTCACACCAGGAACCTTATACTTGCCCTCATTTCAAGCATCAAAAGGCGTAGCACGCGCCGCAGCTCTCAGCCATCCCGCGTAGGCAACAGGCTTCTCCCGGCTTCTTCTGACAATGGAAGCCGAAAAGGTTCCTCCGTGAACGCCGGGAGAGGGGGGTTGACTAGGGGCAGAAGAGGAATCTTGGCTGATGATCATCGCGGGGAACACGAGCATGATGAGGTGGACGTGGTCGGTGATAGCGGCGTGGTTGATTCGGAGGCTGAGGCAGGTGTCTGCGATATGCTTCAGCCATTTTTGGGTAGTGAGCTCGAGGCGAGAGACGTCGGGGCCGACGATGGAGGTACCCTCGTCGTGGTGGTCCTCGTTCTTGGTCTTGGTCTTCTCCTCCACCTTGCGCAAGTCGCTGACCAGGGCGTCAAAGGTACCAAAGGGCCTCACCTCGATCATGGCGAACCGACGACGACGACGGGTACTGAGTGGAAAGCTCAGAGGCAGGATCTCGGCTGGATCGTGGAGGGCCACGAGAGAGTACACGGCTCTCTTCAATTCCCATAACCCCGTATCCTGCCAACTGTGTTTGACCACAGACGGGATGGGCTGCGTGGGATGGCGGCGGAGGAGATGGAACACGAAAGGGTGAGCGGGATCAAAGAGCTGATCGCACACGTCGAAGGCGGTGGCACCCCAGCGCAAGTCGTTTCTGACTCCCACCAGTTGTCGGTCTTTGAGGGGCTCCAGGTGGGCGTCGGTTTGGAAGCATTCCTGTACCAGATTGATGTAGAGCATGGGGTCGACGAAGGTAACGTGGGTGAAGTCGCTCATTTGCAGACTGGTCGCGGTCTCTGGAGGCGGTAAGGGAGGATCGGCGGGCTCACCGTAGGGGGGGAACCAGGCGGCGAGGTCATCGTCGAGGTCGAAGAGTAACGTCTTGGCTGATAGCGGCATCTCGGCGGGCAGCGGAAGTATTCTGAGCTCTTGATGCAGCTGGAGATGATGTTGGCGACATGTAGAAGGCGTAAAGGCTGGCTAAATTAGCGAATGAAGAAGGTGAGGCAATCCGTTCCAGCTTGGAAAGTGAGAGACGGCTTAAGAAAAGGGAGGAATCCAGAGCTTTCTGGGTTTGTGGTGCAATGATTCGAATAATTCAGTAAGAAATAATTCAGTGAGTGCCAGGTCTAGATTTGATAAATATGGTGGGAAGGTGCGACGGGGGCGGGGGGGGGGGGGGGCGGTGACTCTGTACTCACCCACACGTGGTGCATGGCCATTCAGAGTCCTTAACTGATAGTCTGCCACTTATATCACAGGAATAACTGTTTCGGAAGGAGACAGCCTCAGCTCCGACGTCGATTTGGATGTCCAGATCAAAGAACGTCGCATCCCAATGGCTCAAGACAGACTTGGAGTCATTGCTGATTTGTTGTTGGCATGAACCTCATCGGCTTCCTAATTTGGTACCTTGAAAGACATCTCCTTGTTTAACGGCAGTATTCCCTTCCTGAAACTGCTTCAGCTTCTTTCACGACATGGAAACTGCGGACAACAATGTAGTATAGCTCGGGCATATCTCGCTCATGTCACACGAAATGGGGAGCGTCTTGCAGGACGCTTGACACACACTGCTGTCAAATTCCCGTGGAATCCGGGTTAAACAGACTGAAAGCACTTTGTTCTTGACTCTACCTCTATCATTACAACTGAGAACAACATAAGAAACAACTGGGAACAGTTCAAACTTGGTCCCTCCTCCACGTATACCATTAATATCAGTTCCTAAGTTTCGTTCATAAGCCGACAATCCCTCCTTATTTCTGGGAGAATCATCTTTCCATCCTCGCTTCGAGGTTTATTTCTTTCGTCCTCTCATCTGACATTAACCCTCCAGAGATATTAGTTTCAATGTCCCACAATCCAGCCCAGTATCGTTTCATCCGTCTATCCTCCATGGCCAATCCAAGATTGCTGAATTGCGTCTGATAGCACATCGTCCTTTTTGATGAGATGCAAGTATCTAAGCTTGCCTCGCTTCCTCCTCTCATCGCATCCAGATTTCTATGAACATTTCGAATGAAATATTTGGGCATTCAACTGATATATCAAAGTCTGAAATTCATCTTGACACCGACGATGTCTCCTCCCGGCGCTTAGTCCGGCACAAGGTTTTGGCAAGTTCTTCTTTTGCAACTGAAATTTTATCCCGGGAGATTGCAGAGGTCGCATAGGTAGTAACACAGGTAACAAAGGTGCCTCATTCCCTAGCATAGGGGTTCCTTTCCGGGCAAACACCACCTTTATTCTGATTCCCTTTCTAAGCCTCGTAGTACAAGCCGCGAACTCTAGACACTTATTAGGGTGTCTTTTAGAGGATTTGAATCTCCTATAGGCATCTTCATCCTTTGGGGTTTTGTCACTTTTCCTGTTAATTGGTCAGGTAAATCCAAACATTGTGGACTCAGGTGTTTGGCGCTATTTTGCCTGGGACAGGTAAGCTGTCCTTGCCGGTTTTTCCTAGCCGTAACTTGCTGCGAAAGAACTTCTATGTTCCTCCTTGTGTCAATGTCAAGGTAGTTTTCCTTCACCTTTTCAAGATCCTTCTCAATGTGATCCCAATTTTCGTTTCATCCTTCCATCGCAGAGGCCTTAGGTCTTTCTCCTCATCCGGCCCGTATTAAGGCAACTTTATAAACCTTGAGGTGCCTCATTTCATTCGTTTGTACTTTTGCGGGTACCCAGGGAAGTTCGAACTCATGCGCCGCCGAAAATCACTCTGCCCTCTCTCATCGACTCTTTCCCCTCCACTTTCGCACCGTCGAAACGTGTTTTTCCCTACACAGAATCCCTTTCATTCCTCACCGTTTCATCTCCTCGCATCTTGAGAAACCTACACTCTCTCCCCGCCAGGCCTGATCAAACCTCATCATGTCAGACTCTGGCATGCCGGAAGCAAGTGGGGAGGATGAGCGCCAGCGACAAATTCACCTCTGGACAGAGTTCGGGCGTTATAAGCGAGGAGAAGTCTTGACGCTCTATCCCAGAAGCTCTGGTATCCCCTACGGTCTTCCAGAGTACGGATCAGAAAGGCCCGAGTCCAATGAGTGGCTCCTCCCCGACTTCGACCCCACAGTTGAGCAGCTGGGTCATGAAGTGCAGGTCGAGGTCATCAGATGCTTGAAGTGTGACATCGAGGGTAGTGCACTTATCCTCCTTTGCAGGGTCACTAAGACACCATCCATCAGCCGCGACACTCATCATCGTCTTACCCTCGGGCTCAAGGTCGTCCTCAAAATCTTCGACCCAACCTTCTTCCTTCTGGACCAGCTCTCCTACTTCTTCGGGCTCACACCCAGCGAAGTTTCCCATCAACTATATAGTCGGGAGGCTAATGCCTATAAGTACTTCTACGAGCAAAAGATCACGGGTGATCCTCACATGGTACCGCAGTACTACGGCAGGTGGGCGCTCAAGTTCGACGCTAGCGATTCACCTGAACCTGGCAGATCCTCTTCACCCAGAACCCGCCAATGGAGATGTGTAGGCGCGATTCTCATCGAGTGCATTGCGGACCGCTCGCTTGAGAAGATGTGTGAACGAGACCACAGCGGAGCCTTGATTGCCGATAAGGCTCCCCTTCCCTACATCGATCACGCAAGCAGTACGTCGAAAGTTCTGTCTCTGAACGACTCTGCATCGCGGCTCAAAGTCTTGAAGAAGGTTATACACGGCGGTGTTTGCTTCGAGCATATTGGCCCCGTCATCAAGGGTCTCGATCCCCATGACATCGTCCTCACTTTCCTCCAGAACACCCGAGACCGACAGACCCCAGAAAGCATCCGCCCTGTCCTTCTCGACTACATCTTCTGTGTTGTGTGGTCTCAGTCCCGCGAAAGCACGCACGGACGGCTCGACGAGTTAGACGAAGAAGCACCGCTGATCCCCCGCAGATATGTGATGAACAAGTACCCGATGCAACGACTTCCAACTCCTCCGAATCCGACGTGATTCTACAATGCTAGCCAGATGCAGGAGTTCAGAGGCTGGTTCCCAACCGAGTGGACGGAAAAGGTGCCAGGGGACTATGAGGTCTGGGCCGCGAGCGAATTTGGAGATCCCACGCAGGAGAGAAGCTATTCGACTGAAGACATGCTTACGGAGAAAATACATGAAGCATAGAAGACGGGTCAAGAGCAATACGATCGGGAGAAGCCTATGCTCAGCTAACAGGGAAAATATGACCTGATCATCGAGGATAGTGACATCCATCCAACTCCGAAGGAGAAGCGTCTAGCCAAAGCCGAGGCCGATCACAAGTTTATGGTCGAGCCTTCTAGAAAGGAGAGGGAGTTTCTGCGGCGGATCGGCCATCCAATTTCAGCTGAACTTGAGGCCGAATGTAAGGATCAGCCACCTTCAGCTGAACTTGAGGCCGCTTGTGAGGATCAGCCACTACCTGAGACTGGATCAGAGGATGAGCCAACTCCAGGACCTGACGATCATCCAAAATGGAAGTCACCGCAAGAGATCTAAGCTTGATTCGAGTTCGCCAGACAGTATTCGAGGTCATTTGAAGAATACTCGAGTTGGCAAAGAAGGCGAGGAAGACACCGATGACGACGCCGATGACGACGAGGAAGACGCCGATGATAATAAGGGGGACACCGTTGTTGGCGAGTACATCGATCACGGCGGTGATTCCAAATACGGTCCTTGATGTGTATGTCGTGGGGGGTTTTCCGTCTTTGCAGGCGCAAAAGATCAATGCGTGGCATTCTTGATCGTGGAAGATAGTCTGGCCAAATTGACCGCATGATTATCATGTATTGGGCCTTCGCACTACTGGCCCTGCAAGAATCGGGCAAACCAGAGCGTACGACCTCTAAAAAGGTTAAGTAGTTTTCAGTTGCTTCTTCTATTACTTCCACGTCGTAGTGGAAGGAGAGTTATCAATCAAAAGTTTTAGTATGCCAGTATCTCCTACCTTTGACCCCGTGATTAACTGACTGCATTCGACGTCGACCCCAGTCTCACGTCCAACTTCTCAAAATCATCTTGACATTCAATGAGAATGATCGCCATTGCCTAAGTACTAATTCAGTCCTGGGTCTGATGCTTGGAATGTCAGTAGACCTCAATCAGACCAGCCCATCCAAAATAGACCCTAGAACCCAGAGCTCCCTAAGCATCACTTCCTCGTTCCTCACGCCCTCCCAACAACACCCAACAACTCATCGACAACGACCCCCCTGAAAGCCCGATCCAGTCCACAACTGCCACTCTTACCAAACACGCTCTCATCTTCGTCCTCGTCCTCGTCCTCGCCGCCCCCTCCTCTTCCTTCTGCTCCACCTCCTGCCTCCATGGCCGAGAACGCAACAGCCAACTGCCGCGGATCCAACGCCGCCCGCACGGCAGCCGTATACCTCCCACCCATGACCGCATTCAGCGTCCCAAGATGCTCTGCCGCAGAGACAGCACCAACGCCGACACCAGAACCAGAACCGCCCGAAGATGAGGCCGTAGACGAAGACGAAGACGAAGTCGCAGACGCAGATGCAACCTCCGTAATGGGCCTCCCCAGCCCAATCTCCAACAACAACACCCCCAACGCAAATATATCCCTCCTCTTACCCTCCTCCAGCGCCTCTCCCCCATCACCACGATCCTCACCGCCACCACGAACCCGACACCGCCTCACCTCCCCCTCCTCGAACCCAGCCCCGACAAGCAACGGCACCGACACTTTGGCCTCATACTCCCCGCCCCTGACCCCAAACCACACATTCTCAGCACGCACGGCGCCATGCACCCGATCAACAGCATGGAGCTCGCTCACCGCCCTCGCAAGCTGTCCCGCAAACCGGATCTTATCTGAGAGGATCCTCGCCGCCGCCTCCCGCCGCCCGCGCGTGAAGTGGCCCGTCGGCGAGCCGAGGTGCTCCGACAGTCTGTGGATCTCCGCGCTGCGGCAGCCGTGCAGCGGGGAGGCGTCGTAGAAGAATTCCAGCCGCTGATCCGCGTCCTGCTCCCTGTCTTGATTCCGGTTCTGGGTGAGGACCCGGAAGCCCGTGCAGCGGAGGAGGTACGGCGACCGCGCGGCGTGTAACAAGGTAGCGAGCTTGAGCGTTTTGCGGCATATATCCGGGTCATCCCGCGGCATGGCCCTCGTCTCGACAATAGTATTCGCGTCGCGGAACCGCAGGCACGAGGCCGTGACAGACACGCCGTCGACTCCGTCAGCGCCAGGGGTATGACACATATCATCACTCGCGAGGAGCAAGCTTGCGATCAAGGGGGCATCCCCTCTCTGGATCCGAATCTGCCAGATATCGTGCTCGAGACTCGGGTCCCGCCCCACGGCGATATCGCGCAGCTGCACGGCGCGCGTGTCCCGGCTGAAGAGGTCTTGGTTGAGCACGCGCTTGATGGCGAGCACGACGTCGGCGCGGATCTCGTCGTTGAGAGCTTTCACCTGCCTGTGGGTTTCGAGGAGGAGTTTCGGGTACTGCGGGCTTGCGAGGGATGTCTCTGCCGGCCCCGCCGTCACCGGGCTCTGTTGAAAGAGGCGGAGGGTCTCGTTGGCTCGTCTAAAGGAATATCTGCAGATGTTGAGGTCCACCGGCGCGAGGCCGCGGAATGTGGTTGATGATGGCTCGAGGTGGCAGATTTGGTCGTTGTAGATAAGTCTATATAGGGTGGTTGTGCGGTATAGTTCGGACTGGAGCTGGTTCATCTGTCTTCGCGTCTGTAAGTGGATCGTCTTGGTAGCGTTAGCCAAGTCGACTAGTTGACGGGCAGTCTCCTCGGCTCTGAAGACCACTTCCCCCAGAACATTGGTGCTGTCGTTGCTATTGCTATTCGTCATGTCTGCGTCGATGTATCGAGTCTTACTCAACTCGTGGACGAGCACATTAACGACGCAGCAGTGGGTTGTTATACACAACCTGGAACCATGTTGGAGGGTATCCCGACACAACGGTTCACTCTCCCGGTTCCGGGGGGTGTTCCCACAGTTGTCGAACCCGGCAGCACGAACGTTACCTCGGAAAACATACGCAGCACACCGGCAAAATTGCGGTACAGTAACTGAATCGGGTTTCAAGAATCAGATCCTGCCCGACTGGCGGCACACGTAGATCTCTGCGGGACACCGAGTCGTGTATCATGCCATTGTGGCAGACACTCAGCTTCCAACGACTCGTCTTTTGGTCGTTTTGCCATCCAACAAAGTCCCCTCCCCCTCCTTCTTTTCCATTTCAGCCTTGCTAGGTTCCTCAACGGAGAGGGGCCCGCCAGGGTATTCAGGAACGAAGCCAGGACCATGACATCACCCCCGAGAGAATGCATATCATCGGCCTCGAAGGCCGAAATGCTGGGTCCGACGCAGTGGCTCATGTACCATATGTCAAGGAGACTGAGGGGGTTCGGGAACTAGACATGTTGTTGCGGGCCAATGATTCAAGCGCTTAGCAGCCAAGTCACAAGTCAAACGACCCGGCAATGTTGCCAGCGTGGTGTCAGCAACCCTATTCCAACCACCATGTGGGCTAGCTCGATTCATTGTCGAACAGAGACCCTGACCCGAGCGATATTGGACGTTGGTTATGGGTACGGAGTAGGTACGAAGTACGGGTATGCAAGCTGAAAGTGAGTCGGAAAAAGAAACGTTCCCAGCTTCCTATGAAGGACGGTGAAGGGCCCCTTGGTACCTTTCGCGTGGGACTGATGCGCCACCTGGCGTATCTTAGCTGCCCGTATCGGCCAAGTTCCGCATTGTCAATTCCCATCTTGCCCTCATGGCCATATGGTTTTAGTCCCAGACGGTCGCGGCGGTGTGTGAGGGGAACAGAGGGAGTAAAACGAATAAAAGACAAGAAGCCATTTCCACGTAAGCGATGGAAGGCCAGGGGTTTCATGGCATTAGGGCAGGTCGGCGAGCTTACTCGTCTTCGGCGGCCACGCCGATTCGGGGAGCCTAGTAGTAGTGCCCTCAAGTCTGATCCGTTGATAGGACCTCTTAACGCATCCCCATATGCCCGCATATGCAGCTGGCTCTTTCGGGCATGTAGTCCATCGAGGTAGGAGTCCGACGTGCTGTTGATATCGTCGCTGGCGGGGTCAGTTTTTGCTGCCTGAGCAGCTTGCCACTTCAAACAAAGCGATTCGGCATCCCAAGATTCCCCGAGAGACGCCCTTGCCGAAGATGTCGTCGGCGTTGGGATTCGGTACCCGTGCAAGGGGGGTTCCGCTCCGTACACGGCCCGGCCACCAACTGCCATATCAGCCAAGGTTGTATTCCATAGTCGAGCTGCTTGTAATAAGATGAAATCCCATGAACAGAGGCTAGGCCAAGTCTCCTCGCTCGAAATCAGGGTTCGATCAAGGCCTCGACTCTGGTTCGGGAGCTTGCGTGGGGGTGCCTGGGCGAATATGTCGCACACAGCTCGAATGACACAATGGCGCAGATGTCTCGGGATTTCCGTCGAGGATCCATACTGGCGGTACGCTGGTCAAGCTAGCTATCAACCCGTCTTTTGGTCACGTTACTACGCGGGGAATCGCGGAATGCTACCGCGGGGATCCATTTGCTGTTCCGTATAGAGTATACTCTTCAGCCAAAGCACATACGGCACAACGACCATAACGCATCATTCGAGTCAGAACGCGGTTTGCTTTCTTTCTCTTGCAATTTTTTGGGCCGTGAAATATTGGCCTTGTTGTATATCGAATTAGAAAAAGGAAGTGTCTAGGAACCAGATCTGAGAAGCGTGACGTGTCTGATGCATGACATGACATGACAGGGTGGGTAGTCCGAAGCGCTCTGCGCCGTCTCCTCTTGCCTCCGCGACTGTTCCTGGATCGTGGCCGCAGCTGGTACGTCAGTTTGGAACCATGCTACAACTTTACCTCGTCCCTCCCATGGACCCCTTAATGTACCCCACTTTGCTCGGCAGTTGCGATTCTAGGTCTAGGAAGAGACGGCCTCCTTGACGTCCTCCTTGACATCCTTGGCCAGGTCACCAACACTCTTCTGAGATTGCTGCCACATGAGGATACGGGAGCACTGGACGACACCGACGACACCGAGGAAGAAGTTGACAGCAGCAAGACTGGACAGGTTAGTTGACACGTTCCCTTTGTGAGACCCTTCATGACATACAGGTAGTTCTTGGGCTTGATGATCAAGCACCAACGGGTCCAGATGATACCAGTGGCCGTCAGGGCACCGTTCTGGGTGAGAGACAGCTTCTCGGCGGGACGGGCAAAGTCAGCAACACCGGCAAGAACGAGAGCCCACTGTGTATTGTGTTGCCAGTCAGCATTCGTTCCATGGAGGCATTGCCAATTCTCTCGGGTATTTCTTCGTCCGGTCTATATCGACCTCCGACATCGCGACCGGACATCTGCAAGGGAGATACCCGGAGGTACCTTCAGCTACCAGGACTTCATACCTTCATAACGGGGGCCCTGGGACCATCGGAGTCAGCGGACATGTCAAAAGAATACCATGCGAAGCCTTTGTATCGCATGTCGGGGACAGTCTACTCACCAGAAGTGCACCGTCTTGATTCCGATGGGGCTGTCCCACATGCGCTTGAACCAGCTAACCTGGGCATCGGCGGACGCAGTCGAGCTCTGCCATCTCTTGGAGCTCTCGCGGAACTGGGCGCGGAACTGGGAGGTGCGGAAAGCGTTGCGGATCTGGGCACCGGCAAAGACCTGCTGGCGGAAGGCAGGGCGCGCGGCCTTGAAGAAGTTGTTGGCGGGGGCCATTGTGACGAACTTTCAAAGCTATAGCTTTTCTTTTCGTGTGTATATGTCGTCGGAAACTCGGGTTCGGAGGATCGATTGAGAAGGGATCTCAATTCACGCGGAGGCAGAGGTGGTTTGGAGCGGAGAGGGTTTTCCTTTCGATAGACGCACGGGAGGGATGGAGGGGAGAGGTTGAGGCGAGGTTGAGAGACGCAGATGCGTTGAGGTTTGGGACGTCCGAAGATGAGCGGGCAGCTTTTTTTGGCCCGGGAGCACGAGCGAGCGCATACGGTGCACTGAGAGGTAAGGCGCACGGCAGCTCTCAGCGAGCAAACAGCGTCCGTCAACCGGAGATAAGCGGGGACAACCCGTCGAGGGAAAAAAAGTTGACTGCGGGAGCACTGACCAGGTCGACCTCACCTTCCAATTTCCATTTGAACCTTAGCACCTTACGTAATACTCGCCTGTCTGTAGCTGCGTACCTTGAAAAACGGCCCCTAGATCGGGGGTGTTGAGTTGTGCATATGCATAAGTCCACAGCTCCAGGAGTCCAACCAATCAGTAATACCCAATTAGACAAGTTATGCTCATCCTGAGTTCCCGACCGCCTTATGCAAAATTCCCTGACCCACCTCGAACCGTGAGCATCTCGTTAACTTCAATCCTCGCCAGTCCGTCCACCAGCAAAGAGGCTACTCCAATCGATCCGAATCCCGCCAATTGACCCAACCGCCGCCCGTCCGCACCTCCTTCGCGCAGCCCCAGCCACGATGTCGAGCAAGTACGCATTCACAAAGGCCCTCAAGGAGGTGCGCTTCCTTTTCTGCCAGACGGGCGAGCACAGCGCCGCGACCCGGTACGTTTCCTCGACTTCCCTACACACGCTCAGCGCATGTACACCCCAACCTCGAAACCTCCCAACGACGACGACACCAACCGCTCGCATCACCTCGATTCCCCGCTAACCACTTCTCGCAATAGCAACTTCGTCGCAAGAGCCTACCCCACGATGAAGAAGAACAACCCCCAGACTCCCATCCTCATCCGCGAGGCCGCCGGCACACTACCCAAGATCTACGCGAGATACGGTCAGAACTACTTCCCAATGATACAGAATGAATACCGAATGCTGATTAGGTACTCTTCCTCAAACAGAATTCGGCGTTGAAAAGAGCCAGTCGCTGGAAGGTGAGAGTCACCCTCCTCCCTCCTTCAATCTCTCTCGAGGACGCTCAGTAGCTAACATGCTCCGCAAAAGGCCTGTCGGACAAGCAGATCGAGGACACAGTTACGACCCTGGTGAAGAACGGCGCATAAACGTATAAACCCGGGCGGGGACAATTGAACGAATAGACTCAAACAAGGACCTTTTGTACCATCACCATGTTGTTGAGAATGACGAGCCGAAAGTTGTATTGAAACTGAACTCAGCGAGCTGCCGATGAATGAAACTAGGCGCCATGGTAACAGTTCGGGGTTATCTGTGTTTGCAAAGTACCATTTCTACGACGATCCCATATGCGGTCTGCTGGATAGTGTCCACGTCCCCCGGGATGTTCACTGTGCCCTTGATCAGACGAGGCTCTGGGAGAAGACAAGTTCACTTCAGGTCACCTATGACGGGGCTCACAACCACCCAAGTAAGCATTCAAGCAATGAACGATCAGATAGAGAGTCTTCCGAGCAATGTTCATTCTATTTCTTCGCAACTACTAAGCCACAAGCGCGAGCTATGGGTATCACTCAAACACAAATCCTTCTCAAGGAACGAATTCAAATCCTCCCCATCACCTGCTTCTGAGATACCTCCCCAACAGGCTCTCCAATCTACAGAAAAGCTCTTAGTCAACCCTGTCCTGTCACATATGCTTCCGTCTTTCCGTATTTGTTCGTATCGCGCCCAAATCATTTCCCCCCAAACATCGAACATCCTTGTCTAATGCTTGCCACTGCCCTCCTGATGGAGCGCGCCCGAGGATGTCTTGTCCTTGGTCTTGTTCTCGCTGCTCATGCTGCTGGTAGGAGTGGTGGTGCTGCTCTTTGTAGCAGTTGATGTTGCACGCGCTTTGCCCCAGACGCTGGTCGCAGGTAGGCTGGAAGCAGGCAAGGGAGCAGGCGGCAGGGACGGGAAGTCGTCTTTACTTGCAACAGAAAGCTTTCTGTTGTGCGTCCCAGGGGCATGTTGCGGTTGCTGGACGTGCTTATTTTGCTTCTTAGGCGAAGGGTTGTTCTTCTGCGGTTCTTGCTTACCCTGTTGATGCTGCCCGTGCTGTTCGCGATCGCTGCTAAGCTGTTGCTGCTTTTTCTTGCTAGCGCCCTTCTTCGCACGCTGTCTTTGACCGTTGCCACTGCTAGCATTTGATGGCTGTGGGACGGGCGTACCACCTTCAGCGGGGTGGTCCTGCTTTGCCTTCGCCATGCTCTCGGGTGCCGAATTTTGCGTGCCTTCATCTTGGACTGGCACTTCACCAGTTGTAGAACTCACTCCATTGTCGACGCCATCTCCAGCACCATGTCCCTGACACTGTTCAGCTTGAGCTTTGGGAGGCGTTGGTCCTGGAGTGAGAGTTCGGGATGTGACCGATGAACTGCGAGAAAAGTTGCGTTGATGCTGAGTGGTCTTCACTGGGATCGGTACCAATGGAATTGGCGCCAGCTTCACCCTATGAAAAGCAGGGCGCGGTACAGGCGACACAAACTCCTTTGCCTTTGGATTGAGTTGCATGGTTGACTTTGCCGTCGCTTCGCTCTCAACCACGGACGTTTCTGGTGAAAACTTCGGTTCAGGCGTCCTGGCTGACGATGGAGTTGCTGGGGTCGATAAGACCTTGGGCGAGCTGTTGCCAGAGCAGCTTTCCTGGGCTGTGGTGAAGCTCATCTGTGAAGTACTCGCAGCAGATGGAAGACCGCCGTCGACGACATGGGCCTCCTTTAGGATGGTGGCTGCTCCAGAACTAGAACCTTCTCGTACAGCAATGTTCAGCTGAGCCGGCTGCTTGTTGCGATTCTTCGGCATTCGAAGTGAGCCGCCAGCGTTGGCTCGAAAGCTTTTGTTAGGCGGCTCCGGGAGACTTGACTTTCCTGGAGACGCTTCTGTTGCAACGATATCCCTGGCCTTCGTGATGATGTCGGCCGTCTCTGATGCACCAGTCTGGGTTTCCGCCGGGATATGAAGAGTTTTATCATCGGCGGCCACAGTCGAGGCGTCGCCAATGGGCAGAGACTCATCTTGACTTCCTGATGTCGGCTTCTTCTTCTTTTTCTTGTTTCTCTTGGTCTTCTTCTTTGAAGCATCGTCGGCCATAGCGGTGATTGGAACCCCTGAGATTAAGCCCGCATCGATCAAGCTGTCGAGTGCATGTCCAGAATTCAAGCGAAGGCTATCGCTAGGCCCATCTTCGTCAGGAAACGAAGTCTTGAGGAACGAAGAGCTACTTCTTCCTGGCATGTGAGGCACCACGTCGAAGACCTCGACACTGCTGGTATCTCTGTGAGAAAAAACCTTCCTGTACTTTCCCTTGCCATACGTGGGACTCTGCGCAAGAGGCTCAGGGGCTATGACTCCTTCTTCCGGGACAGGCGAGACGTGAGGTATAACCTTCGCAGATTCTTCAGATGGTCCCTGGTCACGAAGAGCGCCGAATTTGTGTTCCTTCTCACTGGGAGAGGCAGGGGGGCTTTTCTTGAACGGAGAGGCTACCGATTCACTGGCGTCCGGAGTAAAGACAGCCTTGCCAGACGAGTCAGATTCTCCGTATACTTCAGTGCCCATCGAGGTTTTCGTCAGCTTTTGAGGTGTCGCCGGCAAGTTGACGACAATGACTTTGCACGGACTGTTGGAAATCCGAGGGCTGTCATGCTTGGTTGTCTTCTCTTCATCGGGAATGACCTCCTCGGAAGGCGGCTTCGATTGCGACTCAGCTTCACTTGACTGTTGCAAAGCTAGATCGACAGTCGGTTTGGCTTGTGTCGGCTTGACGTCTTCGGGCAGTTCAGTTTTCCCCTGCAGCACAGTGGCTTGGTCTGCGGTGGGCAGTGGAATAGTTAAATCAGTTACCGCTTCGGGCTGAGAACCATGTACTGCTTTGCCCTGCGATTTTGATGGACGAGGAATTATGTACTGCTCCAAGGAGACTGCTTGAGATCGAGAGTCCATACGAGCAGATAGAGACTGGCTCTGGGTGAATTGGACCTGGCTGCTAGCCCGAGATTGCTGAGACCCTTCATACGAGTTCGGGATTCTATGCTGTTCAGTCGCGTCCCGGCTGCCCTTGGAATACATCAAGCTTCCATAACGCGTATGGTGAATAGGTCGCGTCTGGAGCATACAGTGAAGCTCTGCGCACTCAACATCCTTTGCGCATGCAATCTCAGTGATGCGAGAACCCTCTTTGAATCTGAACGAGAGCACCTGATATCAGTAGAATTCCTAGCCTGGACGAATGTTGCCACTTACCTGACAAAAAAGTTGGGTAAATCTTTCTGGTCCTTGAGAGCCAATCTGTTGACTTTCTCAACCTCTCCCCACCGAGACATCACAGCATGGACCTTTTCAGACAGGTCATCTCTAATCAGATGAGAGGTGAGCTGAACGAAGACAGATCGTTCACGAGCCTCACAAGAAGGACACTCGCAAGGCGCGTAGGCCCATTTGTTATCGCCAAGCTTTTCATGTTGATTTGTGCAAGTGAAAGTTTGTCTAGACGCGGAAGAACGGGATAATGCACGGCCGCGATTCTCCTTGGTTGGAGAACGACGGAAAACGGGCCCATGAATCGAGTCATCTGCATTGTGGACCTTCTCCCATCCTTTTAAATCGCCACGGGTGCGCTGCTGATGATGAGAAGGGCCGTTCGAGTTAGGCGCTGCTCGCGAGTTGAATCTTGTCTCAAATCGCGGATGGCCCATTTGCGAGCCGCGGTCGCCTGCTTGGCCAAAATGGGGGTCTGTTGATGCATTCCGCTTGCCGTTGTGTCTCTGAAAGGAAACCAGCTCAGGTGCCACTCCGGGAAAAGCAGCAGATTGAGCACGCTGCTGCGCGCCGCCCACGGGAACAGAGCCCGGTATTTGCGCCGAATGCCCAGCGTTGTTGAAGCGGTTGTCATTAGGTCTTTGAGGAGACGGAATGACCTGCGAGGGTGGGCCGTAACGGCGATTTCCAGGACCAGCAGGAGGTTCCATGGGTCCATGGGGAGGCCCATGAGGAAGTCCACGAGAGGGTCCATTAGGAGGTCCACGAGAGGGTCCATGAGAGTGCCCTTGAGAGTGCCCTTGAGGGGGGGCATGAGAGGGAGCATGAAGGGGGCTAACGGGGCCAAGATAGGGCTGAGGCATACCATGTGGACCTGTAGTGAAAGGCGTGCTGAATGGATGACCATCAGGTCTAATAGCATGAGGGTAAAAGGTGGACCCTCCCGGACCTGCATTTTCGCCTCTGGATATCGAAGTTTGATTCGTTTGCGCAACGTTGGGAAGCAAACGACCAGGCAGCTGACGAGAACCATCGTTACCATGGCCATGACTTGCCGAAAAGGTCTGCCGCTTGTCCGCTGGGGTACCCTCGGGGTAGCTGACGCGATTCACGGCCGTGGCAACATCGTGATGGAGATGGTCGATTGGAGTTTGCCTAGATGTACCGCTCACGATCAATGGCTTCGGAGGAGAGGCTTTGGCAGCCGGGCTCGTTTGGGACAGCGGGGAGTCGGGGCTGCCCTTCGTCAGGTTTGGGGCGGTTGATGCTGGGGCAAGTCCACTAGGAGTATCTTGAACGGGTTGACCCGCTGACAAGGTTAGGTCAGGCGCTTTCAACAGGTAACAGAGTCAACTCACCAAGCCAATGTTGCAGTGTGCCTCCTTCCCACTGGTACCCGAGGCTATTTTGCGGGTACAAGGCTGGTTGAGCCCATGGCTTGCCTAGAAGCTGATCATGTCGAAACTTCAGAGCATTGCGGACAAGTTCCATGCTGACAGGAGGCAATCCCTGGAGGTCAACGCGATCCTCTGAGCTCAGCAGATTGAGAACGTCGCCCTGGAATTCTTTGAAGTCTAGCAGCTTCTTCTTGTTCTCGCTCTTTGCAGCCCATTCGTCGCACCAGTGACCAACTTCTGCAACGATTTCTTGATGGAGGTTGCGAACGAGACATTGATTTTCGTGGTAGAGATGAAGCATCAGATTCCAAAGGTTCATCGCGCCTTGGAAGTAGATGTCATAGCAGTCGAAATAATCATACAAGTCTTCCCAGAACTCCAGCTGCGGCATGGACTTCATGTGACTCCAATGCTTCTTGCGGATGGCATTGGCCCTCTCCTGGAGCTCTTCAGCGCTCCATAAATCAATCTGGCGTACTGGGAGGACGTGGCTGAGACCGCGAGTGGGAAACTCGCCATTGTTGGTGCTAAAAATAGCCTTGATCTCCTTCGTCGGCTGGTTGTAGAAGGCGATCGGAAGATTGTCTTCGATGTAAAGTCTAGGCGTCTCTGCCTCCTTGGTACCGACCATCTTGTAGCCGTCGGGAATTCCGTTGGGGTAGTAATGAGAGGAGGGCTTGGTAGGCATAGAGTTTGCCATCGTAGCGCGACTATCGTGATCGTTGTTCCTGGGGAAGCGCTGATCTTGGAAGGAGCCAGGTCCTCCATGGATGTTAGAAGCCATACTGCAAAGCTGCGTATATCCAACGTCGTTTGGCAACGGGATGATAGGCTTGCGGTGATGGGCTCGGAGGCAATGGAGGTAGAGAAAATGAGAATATTTCTGGTGGCGATTTTGGAGTAGGAGAGGGATTGATTTGGTGGTGGGAAGGGAGAAGAGACGATGAAGTGGGTGGTGTTGTTGTTTTTGGGACGAAGAGAGAGGGAGAAGGTCAAGACTCACAAGGCAAATGAAAAAAAAAGAAGCAGGAGAGAGGTTGGAAGGAAGGAGGCAGGTCCCAGAGATGTTTGTTGGGAAGGAATCATGGGTGGGTGCACCTGCCTGTAGATGAGAGCAGCAGTAGCATCAACCAGAAGAACGAAATATTCAGACGTTCACAGAGTGACACCTCTTAGATCGGTGAAGTGGAGGAAGCAGGACTCAGGCAGCAACATAGTTCCCGGCAGCTACATTTTTAGTAAGTACACCAGATACGGCTCTCACATGGTAATCGCGTGAGCTTCCTGGGTCTTCCTTTTGTTGCGACGACTCCTACTTGATGTGTAGACACAATTTGCTGTATAGGTGGGTAGCCGGGATCTTCTTCCCCTCCTTTCACAGGAACTTGATATGAAAAGAGCCAGTGTTCTCTTCTTTCAGCCGTCTGGCATCTTTCCCAAGGTCATCATGCCCCTCATTGTAATGTCCATAGAGACAAACAAGTCTTACTCATTTGTTCCTGATAACGAATAAATGTAGTTGATGCAGCACACTTCCATTGAGGATCAGTAATAAGATGGGATATCGTTGGTCCTGGAGAATTGAGGTAGCAGTGCTTGCATATGAGGTAAGGCTTTGCTCATCAGCGTGAACGAGCACTATTGCAGGAACATAGTACTCATTGGAACTCAACTTGGATCCTCGTCCGACAGCTATCAACAGATTGACGGCAGCCTACAGAAATAGCTACGAGCTAAATTTGGGCTTGATGGAAGCAATGGAAGATATTTTACACGGCATAGAAGAGAGAAGAGTATATTCATCATTCAACTACTAATGTACCATTGGGGGAATGAGAACGCAGGTATCTGGATAACAAGGACAAAGGAGCTGCTTTGAAACATCTGAAGAGAGCGTTCTTCTTTCAGCTCTTCTCATTGCTCAAGGCGTTAATCATCTTGAGAATCTCAGATTCACTCTCACCAGAGACAGCCTTGCCGTTGTTCCAATCCACAGTCTGTATGTCTCAGTCAGCCAGGTTTGTTCTCAAAGTACAGGTTTGAAGAGGACCACGAGCTCTGGGGAGGAAACACATACCACGGGTCTTTGAAAAACCTCGGCGTTCTGCTGGAACTTCTTCAGGGCATCCTGCTCAGTGGAAGCACCCTTGATGATTGATGGGATCTTGCTCTTTCCGACGTATTCCAGGATGGTCTTAACCTGGTCGGCTGTTGGGGGGTCTTCGGTGATGTTGAGCTCAAAGTCGGCGCGGGACGTCTTGGGGCTCGTTTGGACGCTGTGGTCGCTGGCCTGGTCCTCAGTCGCGCCGGCGGCGGCGTTGGCCGACACCTGCTTGAGGAGGTTGACAACCCTCACAGAGGCGGGGGAGCTCGCCTTGTGGAAGACAGTGACGATGTCGAGGGTCTTGCGCTACAGTGTGTGTCAGTGGTCAATTGATCTGTATCGGGTACAATTGAGCAGCCTTACGAATCCGAACATTGTGGCAGGTCGTTGGGGAGCTATTTTGGTGGTGTGTTTGTCTTGCGTGAGCTCTGCTTCGTGCAGCGTGATGCGATGAAGTCGGTAGTGGAGCTCTGGAGCTCCGGAGCTATCAGGTTTACGTCATTTAGCCGGGCGGCTTAGTTTTAGACGCCAATGCCGGATTAGCGCACTGACGGGGCCTGCCGCGCTTGACCCCTGGCCCCATGCACCTGGGACTGGCCACAGGAGGCACAGCGATGGAGCATCACGTCTTGGGACCCCTCACTCTGTCATTTGGATGGGCCTGGAGCCTCTTGGGCATCGATTTGGCTTTTTTCGTAACGGAATAGATCAGGGGCGCGGCTCCGATGGGTCCTCTGCTATGTCATGTTGCCTTCCCACAGCAATAGGGCAATTGATCTCACTACCTATCTAGATTCACAGGATGTGCAGCACGCGATCAGGGTGCCGCACAGTGCAAAGCTCGAAAGTGACTGGTCGGTCGTCAGGGAAGGTACTGGCGGGGTAAGATTTCAATGCACCAGGCAGATTCACCTTCAACGCTCCTATTTACAGATGAGAGGCTTGCCGAAAGAATCAACAGCTGAAGAAGAAAAGGTGCCTAGGTCAATATCGATCTTGGACCTTCGCGCTCATTCGTTATCCACCGTGGAGCAGGGGTAGCCAGACTTGAGGCAGGCGATGGGCTGAACTCAAGCTCACTCAGCTTCAGCATCAAAGACAGGGCTGAAAATTGGCAACGAAGATGCGCCGTAAAGTCAGAGCCGCCAACTACTCTCCGCCCCAAGTGCATCGCCGATTTTCCATGTGGCATGAGCAGATCTGTCATGGCTTTTTTGCGGAGAATGACAATTGCATGACGTAGGAGGGAGTTTTGCCCGTCTAAGCTGAGAATCGGCGCTGGAGACGTCATGACGTAGATGTACCGGAGGGGGGTCGCTGCGCAAGTGCAGCTAAGACAGCTTCCTTCCCATTCATATAGAAAGCTCATCTGCTGTACGCAAGCCTTTTTTGCTCCCTTCTCAATCCAAGCATCAATCACTCATCAAACAACACACCGTCCTTGCTCTTTAGCAGTAAACATACCCTCAAATTTCCACCTCACCAACAAAACAACCATCATCATGTCCGGAAACTCAAACGTTGGCAACAGCGCCGTTTACGAGGCTGGCGATCAGAGAAATGCCAAAGAGGAGGAGACCAACAACGCCGAGCGTTTCCACGAGGGCAAGGAGCACTCTCACTTGGCGACAGACTCCAGTAAGTTGCCCGTACAGCGGCCGGTATTTTGCAGCTGTTAATAGTTAATCAGAGGATGAGCGTTCCATCGCCAACAGACTCGCTGCTGAGGAGAAGAAGAACAAGGAAGGTGATGAGGAAGAGTCCCTCGAGACCCGCCTTGGCAAGGAGGACGCCACACTCCCCGTAAGTAGCATTCCTGAGCCCTCCGCGCATGAAAGAATCAGTGCTAATTGGCAATCAGGCCAAGCTGCACGGTAACAAGCCTTCCAGGGGCGCCGAGATCGATAAGCAGCTCCAGGAGGAGGACGAGCTCCGCCTGAAGCAAAAGGCTGGAAAATAGACATGGGAAGCACAAATATGATTTTCGGTCCGGCGTTGGCAGGGTAGCACCAGCATACATGAGTTCATAGGATGAATATCAAAAGTCATGAGGCAAAACACTTTTCCAGTGATGTTTACACGGTGGTTGCGAGGCAGTCTGAAAGATCGTGCTCACGCAATTAATCATGAAGAACGGGCAACACACTAGGATTCAAGAACGTAGACGTTTACATATCATATTTTTTCTTTACTATTAAGTCGTCTATACTGGTGGTCATACCTGAATGTTGAATTAGTCAAACATATCCAGACAAAGATTCAGAGAACAGAGAGGTGTTGTTGGGTTTGGAGGTCAGAATATGTAAGAATTGAATATCATATATTCAGACGATATAGCCACTCCGGCGAAAGAGAGCCACCGAAAGAAATCAATCGCAAATTTTTCTCATCATTCCAATAGGGGGTGTTTCGGGCGATGTGAACGTACCTTGTGTTCTGTTGCAGCTTCTTAGACAGATGCCAAATTCTGAGCACCTCGAAGCTGATGAAGAGTAAGATCAACAAAACAAAGGGAGAGCTCAGCAAGCTGCACCTTTATGCGAATGGGAAAAAAAAGTTCTGTCGTCGGTGGGGCCTGCGCGGTGAGTGGTCACTGACCGCCCCAGCTAAGCCGTTTTGGGAAGAGAGGAACTCGGCTCGGTTAATCAGCAAATCCGTCTCATTGCGGCTTTCTGACTTGCCCTAAGTCGCACCATCCTCCCAGGGAAAAAAAAAAAGAAGTGTGCCGAAGTGACTTCGAACTCCATCCACCACTAACCACCAGCAGCACATCTTCGACGTCTGGTAAGTTGACGCGCCCCTCCAAGACAAGCAAGACGCAACACCACGAAATCCGCAACCCCGATTCTAACTTCGCGATCCAACTTCAGACCGACCAGCAAAATGGGTGACGCTACCATCGAGGGTTCTAAGTGGCGACTGGTCGAGGTCGGCCGTGTCGTCCTCATCCAGGGCAACGGCCCCTACGCCGGCCGCCTTGCGACTATCGTCGAGATTATCGACCACAAGCGCGTACGTTACGACAGCACCTCCTCTCTCCCCCGATACGATTCGAATGGTTTTTTTGAAATTGGGCGCACGAGCGCGCGCTCCGTGGACGATATAGGAAACCTGGAAGACTAACATGATACCAAATTGCAGGCTCTGGTCGATGGCCCCTCCTCAGACGCCAAGCTCGCCGTCCCCCGCCAGCCCGTCTCTCTCTCCAACGTTCTCCTCTCCTCGCTCGTCGTCGCCGACCTGCCCCGTGGCGCCCGTACCGGCACCGTCAAGAAGTTCTGGGAGAAGTCCGAGATCGACCAGAAGTGGAAGGAGACCAACTGGTTCAAGCGCAGCACTCAGATCGAGCGGAGAAAGAACCTCAGCGACTTCGACCGCTTCAAGGTTCTCCGCCTCAAGAAGCAGCGCCGTTTCGAAGAGCGCAAGGCTCTGGTCAAGGTCAAGGCCTCGGCGTAATGGACTCACGATTAGGATGTCTATGGGGTTGACTTTGAAGACTACGGGGCTGGTTTAGAGCGTGACAGCATGGGATCCGGTTTGGTCTGCATCACCGCAGCATTGGGTTGCTGCACATCTCTTTTGCTCCGTAACTGGAAGGGCTGTATGTCACATTCATCATCAATCATATGATGACCGGCGTCAAATACGGAAATTCAGAGCCAAAAATGAATTCATGGCACAATCAGAAAAATAGATTGGTTGGCTCGTGACGGGGACACGGAGTAAAGACTTTTTTTTCGGTTTTCCTTTTGACACTCTGTAAATCTTCATGACGAGCCTATTCTTGACGTGAATGCCATGGCCAGGAGTCGGTTCTCGAAATGCCGTTTTAGATCTTCCGGTTAAGTCCAGATTTCGTAGTGAGCCCATGTACGGCCAGGCTCTGCCTCAGCCTTGTAGAAATGACGGGCAGAATGTCATCCATTTCCTTGAGGCGGCGGCCGTGGCTCAAAATGCCCGGCGTGCACCGCGTCCCATCCGGGGGACCTGAACTGGGGGGAGCCACTCAGGTCGGGAGCGTTGGCAGACTCGCAGGCGGTTGTCTTCTGCTTACCTAATCCACTTTAACACAGTAGGTGCTGCTAACCCTAGAATTTCTCTGCGATCTTTCCTACAAACCACAAAGCCACCGAACATAATCCCCCACGCCGAGTTAACGATCCCTCGTTCTAGTCTTTGGTAAGTGTTGCTGTCCCTCTGTCGGATTTTTGACGCCATTGCCCGATCAACGAACCCGCGACTGCACCGACGAATTTTTGTGCGAAAAGTTGGCATTTTCCCCTTCCCACAGACACCCAAATCCGAGCTCGCCAAATCAGCTCTGCGCGCGATCCTAGCTCCCACCACCACCACCACACCAGAAGCACCCCGCAGCTAACAATTTTTTTTCTTCCCTCGGTTCAGCAGTCGACAAAATGGCCAACCCCCGCGTTGAAGAGCTTCCCGATGACGAGACCAAGAAGGTCTCCGTCGAGGAGCACGAGGACGAGAGCTCCGACTCCGAGATTGAGGGCGAGGATGCCGAGGGCCTTCCCTCCGGCTCCACCGCCGTCATCCACTCCCGCAACGAGAAGAAGGCCCGCAAGGCTCTCGAGAAGCTGCACCTGACCAGAGTGCAGGGCATCACCCGCGTCACTCTCCGCCGCCCCAAGAACGTGAGTTGCCTGGCATGATATGATGTGGCTGTTGTCGGTGGTGGTGGTGGTGGCACGCACGGCGCAATGCGGGGGGGCATATTGAACAAGGCTGACCCACGTCCCAGATCCTCTTCGTCATCAACAGCCCCGAGGTCTACAAGTCCCCCAACAGCAACACCTACATGTAAGTAGCATACTGTACCATGGGTCATGCGATGTGTGGAAACTGACATGTGCACTCAAGCGTTTTCGGTGAGGCCAAGATTGAGGACCTCAACGCCACTGCTCAGCAGGCCGCCGCCCAGCAGCTCGCCGCTGCTGGTGGTGAGCACGACCACGCCGGCCACGACCACTCCAGCCACGGCAAGGCCGTCGAGGCTGACGCCGAGACCAAGAAGGACGAGGAGGAGGACGATGGTGAGGAGGTTGACGCCGAGGGCATTGAGGACAAGGACATTGAGCTCGTCATGACCCAGGCCAACGTTAGCCGGAAGAAGGCCATCAAGGCCCTGAAGGAGAACGACAACGATATCGTTAACTCTATTATGGCATTGAGTATTTAGCGGCGGCCCCGGTCAAAGGTAGTTTCTCAAAATCTCGATACAGCAAAAAGGACGGAACGGGTTGGCATGTACAATTCCCAGGGAGTTGACTCCGAAAAGTCTCTTTCGCAATGAGAGGTCATGATAATCGGCGCTTTCTTGCACTCTGGATATCGCGCTTATGACATACGTGATGCGTGATTGGCTATTGTGACATCGTGGGCTGACTCCTGCTCGTAATACCTGCCTTTGTAGACCAGCCTCGTCTGGTTGAATTTACAGCTACCCCTCGATCTGGCGGGAATTGGCTCAGACCGAATTCGCAAAGCCGGGAGCTTTGCCCCACCATTGAACCGTTCGTTCCCGTGCAGCCAGTCACACCCCAGTACATTCGGCCGGATAAGTATCACGTGAATATCCGCGTGACACAGTCCATCCCGGCTCTTTCTCTGCTCTCCGGTCGGCAAAGTCAATCATCAACCTCACGACGACGCAACTCCCTCTCCACTCCCCCGAACCCTCAACAAATCCTCCAAAATGGCCGCAGTACGTGTATCCCATCGAAGTCCGCTCGTCTCTCGTCGCCGATTGATGCAATTGCCGCCCATGTCGCCAATTGGGTCGCGCATCCGCGCATCCGCTCCCTTGAAGCTGGGCCACCTGAGCTAATTTCTCTCCTTGTCCTGCAATAGCGAAGCGCAGCTCTCAAGCTCGACTGGGCCAAGGTCACCACCTCCCTCGGCCTCAAGGGCCAGACCGCCGCCTCCCTCCAGGCTTTCAAGCAGCGCAACGAGAACGCCCGCCGCAGGGTCCAGCAGCTGTCGGAGCTCCCCACGACCGTCGACTTCGCTCAGTACCGCTCCATCCTCAAGAACCAGGCCGTCGTCGATGAGATCGAGAAGCGCTTCTCCGCCTTCAAGCCCGCCACCTACGATGTCTCTCGCCAGATCAAGGCCATCGAGGCCTTTGAGGTCGAGGCCGTCAAGAACGCCGAGGCCACCAAGCAGAAGGTCGACCTCGAGCTCAAGGACCTCGAGAAGACCCTGACCAACATCGAGTCCGCTCGCCCCTTCGAGGACCTCACTGTCGTACGTACCGCCGGAATACGTGGAGGACGCGGATGGCCGGATGCTTATTATGACTACAGGACGATGTCGCCGCCGCCGAGCCCTCAATCGATGAGAAGACCTCCCAGCTCGTCTCCAAGGGCCGCTGGACCGTTCCGGGATACAAGGTACGTTCAAAGCACGACCCCGATATGATTCGGCATACTAATACCCCCTACAGGAGAAGTTCGGCGATCTTTCCGTGCTATAGACGCGTTCGTTCTTCGATTCCCTTTGTGTACTCTAGCATTGTAGATAGGCGATCGGTCCAAGGGGAGGGAATCAACCCAGCGGACATTAATATCGACCTGCTGTACCAAGCGCCTTGCCCATCCTATGATGTACTCGTTCATTCTGAGCCGCCAGCTCTGCAGAGTCGGTTTGAAGGATACTGGTGTTCGGTTGAATTTTTCCGGTTCGGAGTTTGTCTCCTCGGCGCTAACCGCAGTGGTGGCCGTTCACCGAGCCGCCAAGCCCAACAGCGTGACCGTTCGCACGGCTCATCCAGCAATATGCTATGAATTCGGTCACTTCATAAGCACGCGGTGAGTACCGAAATTTTGACATATCCTGGTTTGGTTCTCGGGGCTGAGCTCACACTCGACCTGCCCGGCTCCCCGGAACTACGGCCGGATAAACGGGATCTCGTCGCGACAACAACAGCCCGGAAGCCCCGACTTCCCCACTATCGGACCTTGAGTCTAACCTCATCTCACAAAGCATCTCAACACCAAAGCCGCGTACAAATGTAGTGACCTTCGCTCTTGAGCCTCTCGTTATCGAATTGTTACATTTGATCGCTTCAATTCTTCTGTCCTTATTGAATCACATACATCTCACTCACTCAACATGACCTCCTTAGACCGTCTCATCCTCAAAGAGGCACCTCTCTTAGATCCTACTTGGCTAGCGTTCGAGGAAGAAGTCAAAGCCAAAGGCCCAAAGAAGACATACTCATCATCCCTCGACCGCCAGCCTGTCTACGCGGAAGAATGCAGACAGCTCAACGCCCGAATGCTCGCCCCCGGCGCACCATACCACCACCTATCGAACACCACACTACAGCCACTCACAACCCCCTCGAGTCTAGACCAGTTCGCCATCCCGATCCTCCGTTTCTCCGACGACACCGACGACACCGACAACAACACCACCGGCGACGAGATCGTCGTGATTTACTACCACGGCGGCGGGCTCTACGTCGGCGAGGCGGACAGCGAAGAGCTATCATGCAGACGCATCGCCAAGGACCTGGAGGGCGCGACGGTGTACTCGGTAGGATACAGACTCATGCCCTCGTCCCCGGCCTCAACCTGCGTCTCCGACTCTCTCGACGCCTTCCACCACATCCGCGCCCTCCACCCGTCCCCCGCAACCAAGCTCATCGTCGTCGGCTCCTCCAGCGGCGGTCAGCTCGCCGCCGCCGTCTCGCAAGCCGCGCCCCGCGGATCCCTCCACGGCGTCCTCTTACGCTGTCCAGTCACCAGCGACGGCGGGAGCTCTCTGGACTATGTGCCTCCCTCCTTGCGACACGCGTATACCTCCTCCACCTCGCCTTCCTTCGTCACGAGTCTGTTGGGCGTCTTCTCGCGCGCTGTCCCGCGCGACGGGCTGGAGAGGATGCCGCTTGAGGCCGGTGCGGAGACGCTGGCTGCGCTGCCGAGGACGTGGGTGCAGGTTTGTAGTAATGATACGCTGTACTCTGACGGTGTTTGTTATGCGATGGCGCTTGCGGGGGCTGGTGTTGAGGTGAGGGTTGAGGTTGTGAGGGGGTGGCCTCATACGTTTTGGTTGAAGGCGCCTTGGTTGGCGAGAGCTGTCGAGGCGGAGGAGGAGATGGTTTGTGGGTTGAGGTGGGTTCTTGGGGGGTGAGGACGGAGGGAAGGTTTCGGGTACTCCCACTGTCTCGATAGACTATCTTTTTTAGATTTTCTTCCTCCTTTCTAACTTTCCCTCCTGCAAAGTTCATTCCTCTACGTATATAAGAAGGACTTTGATATAAGAGGGTAGTAATGATGATATGAGTAGTGAAAGGGGTATTCATCAAGATGAATAGCAGGAAATCGATTTTGTCACCCACTTGGCAGGGTCCTGGCTGATTGTATCCGTTCTTCCTCTAGATACTAGTGAGTGATTGGGAAGATTGGCTGCGACCATGACTCTACGTAGGGCTTTCGTCGTATTGGGCTCGTACGCTCCATATAGAAAGGCCTGTTACGTTTTTGTTTCCCTTCTATCTTTACACCACTTAGTCGATCAAGCCTGATAATGGCTCGATAGAGAGAATTCCAGCTTGCATGGCCTTGACTGGGATCGTCGACAGCGTCAGATTTTGGTCTCATAAACCCTGATTGGCATGATCGATGAGATTCAGAAGCAGCTCAGGACTGAGTCCCAAGTATTGGAGCATTAGTTTTTGGTTCTATGAGTGGAAAGAGGGCAAGGTCTCGCCATCCTCGGAAAAGTATATCGCTCAGAAATGATGAGCTGCTTCATGAAACCGGTAAAGGATCAATCAAATGATGCTAAGATCCATCTGACAGGTGGCCTCGTCTACATTAATGTAATGATCTATCCAATAATATCTCTTGAGATAATTCCAGTGGTTGTAGGGACGCCTTGTTGAGCCTGGCTCTTGGGTGTTGGCACTCACTGCACCATGAAAGGCCCAAGTGACGACCTAATAGGTTCAGATGGTCTGGAAATCGCAAGGTACCTGCCGTATTTAGGGGCTATATTGAAGGAAGGGATCGATTATTTTTGAGGAGGACTTTCTTTGAGAATATTACAATCACATGACCAGCTTTTTCCTAAGTAGCGAAAAATAACATCTTGAGGCTTCACTCACCGCCCACACACGTGCAACTATTCACATCCCACTCTTTTATTCCCTCTTTTAGCAGTCGGTCTCTCCTTCCTTCTACTTCCTTCTGCACTTTCCTTGTGAGTATATCTATCTCACTGCCTGGGTGACGCGCCAGATTTATTCCGCCTGCCGGTCAACTTATTTGTTCCCTTCTTCTCTCCTCCACCCACCACTTCCACTTCTTCACCCACACAACAACCCATCTGCGAGAATACCTCACTTCTCGGATCCCAGACAATCAAAATCACCAACTATCCCCTTCAATCAATCAAACCACCCAATACCGACATTCACAATGGCTGGTGAAAACGGTGACGCGCGCCGCAAGGGAGGCGAGTACTCGACCAACCCCAACACTCAGCGCACTCGAACCTACCTCGCCAACCAGACTCCTGAGCAGAGAGCCCTCAAGTCCAAGGTCTTCTCCGAGTACCGTGCCTTCCGCACCACCTGCATCAAGCGCGCCAGCATGTCCGACTACATCTACGAGCGCGACCGTGATGCCAAGGTTAAGATGCTGTCTGACGCCCTCAACAAGCTTGTTGCGAACCGGTAAGCAGCACTGTTTGTTATCTCATCACCTCACCTTCTGTCAATTTTGCCGTTTCCTTTGTTTTCAATTCCTGTCGTTTCTACTTACTGCTCTTGTTCTTTGTTTTCTCATGCGGCTTTATGAGTGAAACCACATCCTCTTGTTATCTATATTTCCTCTCATATCTATTCACCACTCCAGTTCTTGAGCTTCTATCAGCCGTAGCTCTCTCACGGTCTACAGTTTTCCTCATTTTTGCTTATCACTCTTATCCTCCATGTTCTCATGCGGCTTCACGTGTGAAACCGCATCCCTGGGGAAGGAATACAAACTAATGATATACAATAGCACTGCACGCAACATTGAGTACATGGGCCAGTCTGTCAAGCGCTTTGCCGAGCGCTACCATGACAAGGCGTTCCTTCGGAGCGTCGAGGAGGCCAATGCCTCGACTGCCCCTGCTCAGAAGAGCACCACTGGCTTGGCCAACCTTGGCCAGGAGGACTCTGAGGAGGACACCGCCAACAATGTTGGCACTGCTGCCGCTGACATCTCGGAGGAGTTGGCCACCATCAGCCAGCTTCTCGACATGCAGGCCAGAGCCAGCATGGAGACCTACAACGGCCTGACTGACATCATGCACGGCCTCGGCTTCTAAGGAAGCACCACATGCATGTACACTGGGCACACTCGACACTCTTTTGGTTGGACTGTCTTCTCTTCTTGGCGGGTCTTCTTGGGCTTTCTGTTTTTTTCGGGTTCCGGCTTGGGATAGACGAGGGGTTTAGGAAGGAGTGCTGGATTGAGAAAACCCGGTGGTCTACATGGGACGGCTTGGAATCGCGACACCAGACGGATTTTGAGGAAATGCGAATACAAGACATGTTCGCCTGATCAATAACTTTGACACGAGACCAAGTGATGCATGTGAGATGTGATAATGGGGATGCAAGCCTTTTACCGGAGGATTGAGCTCGGCGATGGAACACAACGATCTACGACACGTCTACTTTGTTAACCTTCACTTTCGCTTTAGGATTACGTGGTCCACGCGACACGAGTGAGACCTCTATTTTACACCGAAGGCGAGTATCTTGGGGCAGATAATTGTGACACACCGGACACAGGCCTGATTCTATCACGAGTGTCTGGTAGGTACGATGGGCCAAATGGCGACAAGTGCAGAAATGATGGTCGTCGATGAGGGGACGCGACGGGAAGTGAAGGATGACTTGAGTTTCCCGCCGAGCCTCAATATATGCATGCGCGAGGAACCTTGTGTTATGTTTCTTGACCCAAGTTACCAGACAGCGGCGGCATCGAGGCGGGAGATCTCCTTGTGCAACCCGATTCTCCCCCACGACCACCGGCGCATGCGAGGTGATGCTGAGGCGGAGCTTTCTAAAGCTGGCAGAGCGGATGGTGATTTGATGGCATGGCTACTCGGAACGCCTGGATAAGATAACTTACATATACAACTGTAGAACTGGACATGTCTCAAGTAACAGAAGGGTCAGGTCGAGATGATGGCGTGCTACCTCGTCGTCAGATGGGAGATGTCAGATTAAAGTCAAGCACGGTCGGAGCACCGATTGAGGTTGTGTTAGTGTTGCAGCGCCCCGGGTGGAACGCGATCCACAAACGCCGAAGCGGGCCCCAGAGGGCTGCACTACAGGTCCGTGACGACCCCACCTTACAGATGGGTGTGGTGGGGTTCGGCGGACCCGGCGGAGACTGGGCGACTCACGAAAATGCAAAATTGCCTTGTGATGTCTGGTTTCTCATCAGAATACATCCACAATCCCCAACATGATTCTGCCCTGGCCTCGCAAACACGCATCCACAAGAGACTCGGTAGAGCGAACCGCGCCGATGGTTTAGTGGTAAAATTCTCCGTTGCCATCCAGCAGCGTCGGGGAGCCGGGGGTTCGATTCCCCCTCGGCGCATCAATGGGCGGGTCTATCTTTTTGCAGGTTTGTGGTATGCGTCCAACTTTGTGAGTATGATGTGGGCCGCTCTCGCAGCTTCCTTGGCATCACAAAGCGAGAAGTAGGAGACTTCTCTGGATGCTGCTAGTTGAAGTAAATTGCACGCGCTCTACTTACCTTATTCGGGGGCCGATCAATATATTCACATTAGCATGACCATACTTCACATTCTGCAGATCAAAGAGAGGATACTTGCTTCCTGTTGCTTCGCGTTCATACACGCTGCTGTTCCTACGCCCGCTTTCCGTATTCCAGGTGCTCACGCGCAGATATCCTCGTTGGCCTATAGCGCGAAGATGGAAGACGACCAAAAGCAAGTAAGGAGAAGATTTGGAAGAAGGCCATGGGCCACAAGCCAGCGTCCCATGCAAGCCGGTTCACTGAGCTTCGAAAGAAGAGAACGATCAACGTAACTCGATTTGTTTCTGTTTGGCGTTTGTACTGAAGGTAATGAGAGGAGATGATATCGATGCAGCGGAGAGCCATCTGCACCACCTCTGTAGCCACCCGGATGGCATCTCGCAGCTTGGTATGAAACCCAAACATTACAATTGAAAGCGGCCGGCGAACATTTGCCCGTTGAATCTCTTTTACTGAGTTTTTCTTCATAGACTCTTCGCGAGGACATGATAGAACCAGTGAGAATAGAGGACTTGAGCGTCACCTGCAGCTTATACCACCTTCCAAGCACAATTTTGCGTCCATGTTCACAGGCATCTCCACCAAATTATGTCCGGTCAGGTTTATCTATCTCCGTTCAGCAGCTCTCCTTCTCTTGCCTTCTCCCCTCCTCTCTTTTCACCCTTTCCCACAACAACACCTCCGAACGGCAATCCTTCCTCCAACGTCCACCCCAGTCCGGCAGCAACCATCACTTCTGCCCCGTAACTCTCCCACCATCTTGTTCGCACAAGTTGAATTGGCAGATTCTTTCTCTTTCACTCAGTTGGCGACTTGGCCGGCCATTCGGCCTTTTCTCCCTTTCACTATTCCGCACCTCGTGATCACCGTCTACTGTCGAAGCGATTTACACTTGCCCTTGGCATTATTCTCGCTCTACCCATCATGAATGATTTGGGCATCCGTAACGCAGCGGCCAGGAGATATGCGCACGGAGAGAAGCTCGACCTCGTACCCCATCACCCATGGGAGCCATTTGGCTCGGGGAAGTTCCCGCCCTTCCAAGACGACTACCAACCGCGCTCGCTCCAGCCCACAGCGGAGGAGCTCAAGCCGAAGAAGCCTCAGCTCAAGATCGTGGGGCCGCTGCGAGCCGGCAGAGACGTCGGCTCTCAAATTCTGCTCTGCAAGGTCGTTCAAGCACCTACGGACCGCAACGACGTCAAGAAGCATGCACCCTTTCCGAGTTTCCCCAGACAGAGCAAGGTAAGGCGATCAGACAACTTCGTCGTCGCAAAGGTATTCGACCCCCGGCTCTATCCCATGCGCGGCGGACTCGACCTGGCCAACGAACCCCCCTTTGACGACGCCACCGTCGCGTACAGCGAGCTCTGCCGCGAGGCCGCGGTGTACCAGTTCCTCTACGAGAAAGGAAAGTCCGGACACCCTCACATGACTGCTCAATACTATGGCTGCTGGGTCACCAACCGCAAGGCCTTGAACAGCGATTCGTCCCCGGACGCCTGGGTCGGCCTCATTCTCATCGAGTACATTGAAGGCCTTTCGATTGAGGCCATGTGCACTCGCGACCGTAACACCGGATACCTCCAGCCGCCGCTAGGCAGGGATGTTTCGCTTCATAGCGATCACAAAGCGGAAGGCAAGGGCCAGGCCAAGATGCTGCCGCTGGATCGCCAAGTATGCTTGGACGCCATCAAGAGCCTCCTCGGTCAGATCGTTGTGTGCATGCATCTGGGCGTGTCCGTCCCCGACATCTTTCCTCGCAACGTCTTCCTCACTCTCCGCAACAACGGCCTTGATCTCCCGACGCCCAGAGTCGTCATGTTGGACCACCTGTTCTCCTATGTCTGGGAGCACACCGAAGCTGGCAAGGCAGGGGTACCAGCCTACTTTGCCCATATGAAATTGCCCCCCCACCCATGGGAACAATTCGGTATACGCGGTAAGATGCGTCAATTCCTCGGTTGGATCCCTGAGGAATGGGATGATGGCAAAGCATGGCCAGAGACAACGACCACCCAGGGGGCTGCTGCCACCACCGCGAAGTCCTTTGACGACTGGCTCGTGGACTGCTTCGGTTCTTTGCAAGACAGCAACCCAGATTATACCGTATACCCAGAGGAGGTCTCTGACAGTGACGAGGAAGAAAAAGAAGAAGTCGGGGAAGAAGATGATAAAATTGAAGTCTCGGACGAGGGAGAACCTCAACTAGACGTGGAGACCGTGACCGAGGTAAGTCCCGTTGAACCCTTCACCCCCCACCCCCACCCCCTTCCCACCAAAAATGCGCCTCCCAAGTTTTTCATTTGCTAACTTTTTCTCTTCAGATTGATCAAGAGCAGGCTTATGCGGAGATGCTAAGACGTCGAAGAGAACGGGAGGATGTACGTGCCCGGGATGCCTCGATCCCGCAACGCCCACGCCCGCGCCAGGCCCGCACCACCCAGGACATCTCCCCCGGCTCACCCACGCGCAAGGCCGCAGCGGAAGAAGAAGAAGGAGGGGAGCAAGAATCCTCAACGACGTCAACCAGCTCCACGTCCCAGATCGCCAACAGCCCCTCTCACCAGTATCTTGGCGGGCTCATTGTTCGGGAAGCCACCGGATCGGGCTCGGGTAGCGACGACGAGCAGCAGCAGCAACCGCCGCAGTCCTAATGCCCCAGAGCGGGAGGTGAGAAGCAGGCTCGACTCTCTCTCTCTCTCTCTCTCCCTCTCTCTCTCCCTCTCTCTCTCTCTCTCTCACTCACTCACTTGCGAGTCGTGATCGATTTCGGCTGATGGGATATCGGCGTACCTTGGCGAGGTGGTGAAGACGGCTAGCTTACCAGACTTCTGTTGGATTTAAAAAGGGAGGGGGAGCGGGATAGGGTTTGGACAGTCCGTTTTTGCTTCTTCTCGCAGTGCTTGGTTTTCTTTTTTCGCTTTATCCAAGGTAGATCTACACCGTCTATCATTCTTTTCCCATAAAAAGGGGGGTAAAAGAATAGTCAGTTTTGCTCTTCCATCCATCCTTCCAAACGCAGTCTTCTCCGTATGTTGCCTCGTGAACTGTTCCCTATTCATTCATCATGTACCACTCACCCTCAATGTGAGGAACGGGGTGTGACATACTACATCGAAAGGGAATAGGGGAGGTCGAGTGCCATTTGAAGTGACGTGTAAAAGTCGAAAGCAAATATGCAATCACCTCACATTCATCAGCGGCTACGACTCGGCTCGACAAACACCCTCAACCCTCAATCAACTAAGAACACAAACTTCATCGGCAATGGCATACCCGAGCAGAGCCCGGATCCCACAAGTGACATCCCGCCGGCAGTCCAAACGTCAAAAACTTCAGGAAAATAGCTTCATCTAGATTCGATTCATTTCTTCTGGGACTTGTTCTAGGTCATATAAACTCTAAAGGTATCATGAGAACAAATGTCGGCAAACAAAGGCCATATATTAGCCCCGATCTCCAGGTGGGAAAGATGCACTAGTCGTCAAAATCCAACCCATCCAACAAATGCATACTTGGGCCTCATTCCCACGTAAAATATGCTACCCGACTCGTTGGGAAACCCCCCATCTAGTGGTGGACAAAACTTGTAAGATGCTGTGATGCAAATGCAAATGTAGATCCCCTAAACTCCAACTCCATGCAGAAAAATATGAGGGAGAAAGAAAAAAAAAAGACAAAGGACAATGCTCCTCTAGAACTTCTCCATAAAGTTCTTCCTCACGGTCCACATACGCGCCCGCTTCCCGTAGATGAACATGGGAACCGTGGCAAATAGGAAAATGAGCTGAATCACGCCCAGCCAGATGAACACCATTTTGGGTCCGTCCGAGGTAAGCCAGTGCGTGACAAACAGACTAAACACGAGTCCGTGGAAGATGTTCTTGCTAAAGTTGAGCGTGACGAGCGCCTCGCCCGCGTACTGCCGGTAGCTGTCGACGCAAAAGGTAATGGACGTCGTGGACCCCAGCGTGCAGCCAAACGAGATGAGGCCGAAAAAGATGGTCGGCACGATCCAGTGGTCGCGCTCCTGCGCGGACCAGCCGAAGCCCATGAGGCCGATGACGGTGGTCACGAGCACCGGCGCCGCCATGACGAGGCGGAACTCTGGCTCGTAGAGGCCGCCGTTGCGGCGGGCCATGGCCTTGACGATGATGTCGCTCACTTTCCCCGCGACGGCGGTGCCGAGGATGCCTCCGACAAAGGGGGAGAGGTAGACGAGACCCGTCTGCAAGGCGTCAAAGTTGTACGACTCACGGTTGCGGTAGATCAAGGCGACCGACTCGGAGACGACGATGAGCCAGCCGACGGAGAGAGAGTAGACTGCGGCCGACCACAACACGGCGGGGTAGGCGAAGAGGACAAAGGGCCGGAGCATGACCTTGAACCAGCTGTCGTGGTTCAGGCGGCCGTTCCAGGGCTTGAGCTGCTCGGTGAAGGATTTCGCGGGCTGGTGGCGGAGGGTATGGGTGTAGGCCAGGGCCTTTGGCGGTGAGTTGACGTCGGAAGCTTGCATCTTGAATTTTTCGCTTTCGATAGCTGGGGCGTTGTGGAAATAATCCGATCCGGAGGTGGGTGTGCCGGACGCGCCAGACGTCCGCGAGACGGGCACCGGGTTGGAAGAGTCCGGCGTCTCATCCTTGACGTCCTTCACCTGCTTGTCGATGCTGTCATCCTTTTTCTCGTTTGGGTCTGGCGCAAATCCAACGTGAAGGTCCTTGTGCGGATGCGAAGCAACGTGTGGCGACTGTGGCGTAGGACTTGTGGGAGCTACAACAGCATCTTCATGAGCGCTATGGGCCTGAGGAACGTGATGGCGTGATGAGAATCGGCGAGTAAAGCTCGGTCTGCGGGACGGCTTCCGTGACTTGGGGAGCGGTGTTCGGTCCCAGAAGGTCTCTGGCACGAACAGAAACAGAAGCACGCCACAGAAGGCAACAATCATGGCAACAATCCTGTCGAAATATTAGCGATGCAGTCTTGTGGTATCCGTACGTGTTGACTGCTTACCAGAAAGTCCAACGCCATCCAAGACCTTGAATGATGAGGGCACTGACGAGCGGGATGAGGTTCTTGCCGCCGAGCAGCAAGAGTGTATAGATGCCGATTCGGAACGCTCTCTCATGAAGGAAGAAAATTTCTGCAATGGTGGCGGAGGGAAGACACTCCACGGGACTGACTGCAATACCCTGAAAGATTCTAGCTAAGATGAGAGAGGTGAAGTTTGGTGACAGGGCTGCCCACACAGAGCTGAGGATGAAGATGATGGAGCTGAAGAGGTAGACGGGCCTCTTTCCGTACAGAATAGCCGTGGGAGAAAAGATGACGGAACCGAGACCCATGCCCATCATGTACAGACCAGTAGTTAGGGAGACTGTCTCGGTCTCAATGTGGTAGTCTTCGGCGACATTGGTGAAGCCAGCGGCAAGCAAGGGAGTCATGCCACCACCGACCATGCAGTAGAAACCAAGAGACAGAAGAGCGCAATCGCGCCGCCATGAAGGCCAGTTGAGAGGGTCATTTGCAGACTCTTCAGGCTGAGGGTTGAGGATGATTCCGTCCTTGGTCGTCTTTGCATCGGGCTCAGGTGGGGCCGCGTTGGCTGGAGATTGGCGGCCGGTCGGTGTGTCTACCGGCTCCGGGAAACCAGTGGGGATGGATGAGTGGGAAGTCCTTGCAGGCGCATTGCGTAAGCCGAGTGGCTCGTTGCGATGCGCAGCGAGGAGAAGCACAGAACCTGCAGGGTGTCAACTTGGTGGCCTTGGCATGAGCGGAAAACCGGAAAGGGGGTTGATTGCTTACCAGGGACTTCAATCGTTTTGGGGTCGTTGAGAACACCCATACTCCATTTCGGAATATTGGTATTCTCGTCATCTGTGGCTTCGGCACTGTCGAATTTAGTTTTGTTCCCAAAGATGCCACCGAAGCGACTCTTCCACGTGAGGACGCCCGCCATTTTGAAGCGTTCCACAGGATGTCTTCCCAGCCAGGTTTGGCGGGGCAGGGCCAAGGAACTCTGTTTGCTGTCGCTTTGGTCTACTACAACGGCAAGCTATGCGGATTTTGTTGTTGTTGGGTAAGGGAGAAAAGCCAAAACAAAAAAGGACGAGCAGAAGGATGAGGTGAAAGGAGGGTGTCGTTGGGCACGAGGGGTCGACAGAAAATTTGTCCTAAGATTGGTCGAGCATAAGGCAGTCTGTCTGGTTCGACCGTGCATCCAAAGAAGATGAGATAAGGTTGCAGATGTCCAAGAGCCGGATGAAGGAAGATGCCGAGGCAGTACGACTATGCGCTTTGGGAAGAAATACAAATTCTTCTGGAAAGCCCTGCGCCGGTGCGAGGCGATATATGCGGAGACGGTGAAAAGCAACAATTCTAGGAAGAGACCTTGGTTGGAGGAGGAGAGGGAGAGGCGGAAGATATGGGGTAGAAAAGGTGTTGGCGCAACGAAGCTGTCGATGGAAATAGCGTTTGGATGTCAATAACGAGGCCAACCTCGATGGCAGATGATGGGCTGCGCGCACTGCGCAGTGGGAGAGAGGAGAAACTATCCAGGTCCGTGCAGAACGATGGCGTCAGACTGGTAACGCGCCGTTTGACTGTGATTAAGAGAGCGAGGGGGGTCTGCGTCTCACGTAGGGGCAGGCGACCATGAGATCAAGGATGAACCTCGAGCTTTATGTTGCCCTGGCGCGAAGAGGGACGCAATGTTATCGTGCCCTGGCAAAGCCGCAAGCCGCAAGTCTGGGGGAATGGAACATGGGATGGAAATGAGATATCGGCGCTTGGTTGTCAGGATTGGCCGGCCACCGAGTCAAGCACCGCGCACAGGAGGCAAGGAAGACGAGATGCAATTCATGCCCAGCAGCAGCAGCAGCAGAAACAGCATCAGCGGTATGGCAAGGTATCCGTACTAAAGTACCAATAGGACCGTATTCGTACACAGTCGTAGTAGCTTGCAGGCTCGCAGAATCAGCTGGTGGGGTTTTCTGTTTGTGGGTGCCAGGTGCGTCGCGTCGGGCGGGTTCCGTGGGGAATTTTTTGAGCAACTGGAGGGGTCGAGAGACTCGAGACGGCCCTTCATCCACTGGATAGACTCGACGCAACCTGGACAGATTGGCAGGTGACTCGACGTTGGCGGGTGCGTGCAAAGTGCGATGATGGATCAAGGATTCGAGGATGGAAACGGCGTTGGCGGCGAGGGCGGCGGTGTCTCTCCTCAGTCCTGGCAGCCCGCAGCCTGCAGGTTGTAGGTAGGTATCTATACGGAGTACGTACTTCCACCTTTGTAGTATTGGCACCAGGCCATACGCAGCAGATGCGCCTGCGGGGGGGCGCTTGGGAGGCACTTGGAGACTGGCGATAGCCTTGGTGGACAAAGGAGGTGAGGAAAAAGGGCCACATGTCCAACTCCAAATGCCGCCCACAGCCAATACGCGTCTGCAACAAAGCCAAGTAGTGCCCCGGATGGCAGGACCCCTAAAAGCGAGACTAAAACCCCTTGCTCACAAGTCCGTGGGTGACTGGGTGGGTGACAGAGAGACTTCAGGTGCTGGTCGCATCTTCTCCACTTGGACCATGTGAATCAGCGGTCCAAGATGGTGGCGACTGGCGAGGGCGGTGACACCAGATCCATCAACCAAGGGATATCCAATAATCCAGCTTTCATGATCCATCATGTACCTATCGCTGTGCGGGCAACGGGAGGCTCTACACAGTAACGTTGTCGACAGTGCGGATGGGCCTCAGCTTCATCTGGGTAGGTAGTCACCGAAAGTTGAGAGTTTGTAAATGGGCAGGTAGCGTACGTACGCAGTAGAAGTTATGAATTGATGTCTTGGGGTCTCGGAGCAACCCGAGCGGTGCCAGACCACCACCACCACCATGGGCACCATCTGCATGTTTTGCTCGTCTCTGCTGACCTCGGGCTCGGATGTAATGGAGCATTCTTGTTACCCCTCCAAAGTGAGACTGACCCCATGGTGAGATTTGCGATGGAGGGATGGGCTCGTGTGTTATTCTGCGGCCTGCCCGTCGCATAGAGAAAGGTTAAGTGAAGTGCGTACTGTGTATGTGTGATGTAGAGAGTCTTGTCGTTGGTCTTGCGCCGCGATTAAAATGCGGCTGAGTGGTGGTTGACGGAAAATAAGACAAGGAGCAATTAATTGGGAACCTTCCTTCGCCAAGCAAGAAGTACAGAACACGAAGTACCTTCCTTACCTTGCGGTGTAAAGTACTCCGTACCTGGCAAGTCTGGGCAGAGTCAGAGTGCGAAGCTGAAGACAAAAAAGAGCAGGCGCCATGTCTGGGCGCCCAGAACGGAATGCACCTGCACTTACCTTACCTTACCGCAATTGCCGTTGGTGTCCTCGACTCCTTCCCTGCCGTGCCTGCCCTGTGCTTCCCTGAAGCCTGAGGTGGACCCCTGCAGAATTTTGCTTACGTCATGCAGCCTCAACGTCATCGTGCCGCGTGCGTGACAAGGTCTGACCCCATATATTCCTACACCGCCTTCCCCAATGGAGCCTACCGTGGTTTAAGCGCGACAGCGCCGTCTGCCAGGAAGGAAGGTGCACCTCCTGTTGATTTCGATTGCGACCGAACCTCCAGATGAACGTCGGATTTTCCCGTCATTGACAACAACAGCTACCAGCCTTAAGCAATACTACCTACAATATTCCCTCCCTCCCTACCTACCTAAAACCTCGACTAAGCTGTCCAGCTGCTCGGAAAACCGTTGACGCTACATAATCATCCATCCACTACCACCACCCTGTGCTATATCGAACCATTGGCTCCAAAGATATCTTTGTTAGCTTGCTCCATATCACAGGTACTCCCGCAACTGCCACCTGCAGCCCTCCACTCGTTCTTGTCCAAGAATTCTGTCGCATCTCAGCGGTGCGACTCGCATCACGACACATCACGGGATCATCTTCAACGACGTCAGTCGGCAGCACGCTGCATACATCCTTGGCATCTGAACAGACCAGACAAGACAATCGACATTCACCATACCATATCCTGCAGTAAAATCACCATGCAACTGCTAAGACATACCGCCCGCACCGCTTTCCGGGGCTGCAACAGCAACCTCACCAATGGCGTCCGTATTCCGCCCCCCAAGCATTCCATCTCTGCCGCCGCTGCCCACTTCTCCACGTCTCGTACCAGCCCGGCCAAAAACCAGATCTACGCATCGTAAGTGGGCCACCGCAGATTCTCCAACCTCTCTGTCCAATCCTTGCCCTGGCCTCTCCTCTCGAAAGCGCCCGTCCGCTAACCTCTGCTTCGGGTGCCAGTGTTCGCCGTCCTGACGACTTCCACACCTATCAACTCCTCTCTTCCTCTTCTCGCACACCACTGATAACACTGTGGACCACGTCTTGGTGCGGGACATGTCGAGTCGTTGCCCCTCTAATACAATCCATCGTAGAGTCTGGTGTCGGTGAAGCCGAGGGCGGCGTTGGCTATTGCACCGTCGAATTCGACTCTCCCGACGTCATGAGCGGAGGACTAGGCATGACCTACATGATCACCTCTATCCCGACTCTGCTAAGCTTCGACAACCAAGAGGCCCAAATACAGACCAAGCTTCACGACGCCAAGAAGCTGACAGACCGCGTTTTCCTCGAAGAGTGGATCAGGTCTGAGGCTCGGCGGCACGGCCAGCGCGGAGGTGGCGGAGGATCCGGCGGCGTTTTTGGAGGATTGTTTGGTGGTTTCAAATGATCAAGACGGACGCTCGGCTGGCTCAACAATCGGGCATATTTCCAGCAAAACCATGTGTCTGGTGCATCTGGCAGCACGAGGCAGACAAGGGCACCGAACGTGATCAAAACGAAACGCTCATCATTCGGCTGGTCGTTGACTAATAATGCAATACACTCGATCCCCTCATCCCACCAAATTTCTCTCTCTCTCTCTCTTTCTCAAGGCGTGTAGAACACCTCCTCGACGGGCTTCCACCACGCCGGCTCGCCTGCTTCACTGCTCACCGCGCCGGGAACCAGAGACTCTTGCCAGCCGTCGGTCATGGCCCACCATTCGCGGACCTTGGGGTTCTCCTTCATCTTCTCCATGTCTCCGGCGAAGTCGTAGCCGACGTACTTCATGGTCGCAAACAGAATACGTGAATCGGGCTCGTGCCAGATGCTGTCTGTTGAAAGTCAGCTTTGAAAAGTCGCCCGACATCGGGATTCGCAGTCTGCCGTGTTGGGGCCGACACCGACGGATGACCTACAGTCGACAATGTTGCACTCCTTGATCTGCTTGAGCACCTCGGGCCAGACGTTGGCGTGGACCTCCTTGTACTTATCGATGAACTCGGGCTTGAGCTTCACAATCTGGGCAATGCGACGACCGGGGTTCTTCTGTCTGGAGGATACGGGCGCAGGAGTCTCCACCTCGGTTGGGCTACCGGGCGCGGGGGGAGAAGAACGCTTGTTGGACCACATGATGCTCGTTGGACGCGTTTGAAGGGTTCGTCGTCGATGGCGGAGGTGGTGAAGTTTTTGCTCGCAAAATGTGCTCGGCGGAGGGCTGACCCAAGTGTGTCCCGCGGACTCGGCCGTCGGCCTGGCGAAGCTGGAGCGTCTGCTTAGAGCCGATCGATCAGCGGGGGTGTGACCTTGGACTCGAGAGTCGACGGCCGGCGGAGAAAACGACGGAACTCGGCCAAGTCGGGGGAAGAATGTCGCGAGGCGGGGCGCGAGGGGTAAACAGAATGCGGGGATTTGGGGAGGGGGGCACCACGGCTACTCGTCCACACCAACAAACACTGCGTCGATACACAGCACTCACACGCACACACCCAAGTAATTCTGCAGCGCGGGGAGAACGGCTGGGCAAACAATCGCTACACACACATAAATGATGCACACCTATCTGTTGGAGAGCCGTTGCTGCGACTGTGATGCGTAAAGAGGCCGCTGAGCGACGTAAGAGGAGGGGATCACGGGGGGAACACTCTCTTAAATACTGGCGCCGGCAGTGTCTTGGTCTGTTCCGCTTCATCCGTCGGCCAAATCTCGTCTATGGTGGGATGTCTGGTAGACAATGCGGCAATACGTCGTACGGTTGGGACGCGGATTAGTCAACTGCAGCAATCTGTTGGGCCGCAAATCGTGGAGATCGTGACATGTCCGGTTCGTCCGCGCGGGAGATGCATGGCAGGCCCGACAAGCTTCTTATACCTTCGTCAGCCCGACTCAAAGGTGTTCGTTCCTCCTCCCCGGTCCAGCAAGCTTGCAGCAGTCGCAGCAGACCTTCAGTACCGGGGCCCCGCGTCAGGTGCTCCACGGTGCCGCACCGTCTGAAGTTGACGATGATCTGAGCGTCTCCGGGCGTGTCTCACTCACCTCACTCAACTTTGCGAGCCCTACATCTAGTCAGCCCTCCAACCTAGAATAAGTGTAGTCGCAGGCCGCAGGAGCAACGGCGGATGGGCTGTCAAGGTTCCAAGTCTGGAACGGGATGCTCGAATTAACCCAGCCAGTAGAGTTCCTTCGAACTACCTCCATCCCTGACACCTCTCCGACCCCAGTCAACCCGGGTTTTCGGTCTCGACTCTAATGGAATCACATACTCAACACCCACCCCCACGAAACCGCACGGGATTGCCTGTTCCAGCCTTGATGGGGGTTTTGTCTTCGTATCTCTGATTGCGGTCCGTATTCTGTGTGGTTATCCGCCCCTCACGGCTCTGGGTCCTATTTATCGGCAATGTGCCGCGGGTAGCGTGCGTTACTTGCGTTGCTTCCGCCGTGACATGGTTTATTAATCTGGCCCGACGGCGCTGACCGAGAGAGGTGAAAGGTCAGAGGTGCGCTTGTCGCGTGCGCCGCTGGCCTCTGAGTGCGGAGCGGACGTCGGCTATCTGCCCGCATCTAGCGGGGTTTTGATCGGCGAATCAGACGTTCTGTCCTGCATGGGTCTGTAGATGATTCGAATGCTCTCGTGGTTGCATTGCATGCTCAGTATTCGCCGTGGCCTATTGCTGTGCTCCTTTACAGAATCTTTGGGAGCGCGAGTGGCCTGGAGGTGTCTTTTGCGAGTGAAAGAAGTGTATATGATTCTCTTGAGATACCTCGCCGAGTATTCTCAGACTTTAGTTTCCCATCACGTCACATATGAAGCTACGTTATCTTGTGAGCATGCAACGCGGAGAAGACTGAAATGCTTCCACGTCTTTCTTTAATTTTGTTTTAGTCTTTCTTTCATCAAACTCATTTCAGCTACGATGGCATCCTCTTACAGAAGTAGGGAACACGTACTGGTGCCCGCGTCTTTTGGATGAGATGAGGATAAGGTCTACGATGTGGGGAGTATACCGCGAAGCTCGTGCTTCTATTTTCATTCTCCTTTCGAGTATAGGGTAGAGTATGGAAGGCAAGGTTTGTTGATTTGGAGCTGTCGTGGGCTTGGTGGGGTGAATAGTGTGAGGAGTGTTCCGCTAGAAGCTGACGTGGAAAACCAAGTGGCTTGCTTTATCTGTAGGTGCTTTGACTTGAACAGATCTTTTGTGACTTGGAGATGTACGTGGCCATCCCGGATATGGTGTCGTGATGATGTGTGAGAG